TGACTGGGGGATCCCAAGGCGTTCCCAGGCCAGTGCAGAGATATAATCTTTCCATCTAGTCCTGGGTCTTCCCCGGGGCCTCTTCCCAGCTGGCCGTGCCCGGAACACCTCTCTAGGGAGGCGCCCAGGGGGCATCCTCACCAGATGCCCAAACCACCTCAACTGGCTCCTTTCGACGCAAAGGAGAAGCGGCTCTACTCCGAGCTCCTCGCAAATGGCTGAGCTTCTCACCCTATCCCCAAGGGAGACGCCAGCCACTCTCCTGAGGAAACCCATTTCGGCCGCTTGTACCCGTGACCTAGTTCTTTCGGTCATGACCCATCCTTCATGACCATAGGTGAGGGTAGGAACGAAGATTGACCGGTAGATCGAGAGCTTTGCCTTCCGGCTCAGCTCTCTTTTCGTCACAACGGTGCGGTAAAGCGAGTGCAATACCGCCCCCGCTGCTCCGATTCTCCAGCCAAACTCACACTCCATCTTCCCCTCACTCATGAACAAGACCCCGAGGTACTTGAACTCCTTCACTTGGTGTAAGGACACATTCCCTACCTCTTTAACTAACTTTATTCTCTTATTTTATACTAACCCATAGCATTAGCATTTCATTTTATTTTATTACTTGTACACTGCTGTCTTGTTGTCTATTGTTACACTGTCATGACATATTTTGGCAATAAATGTTTCCTGATTCCTGAAGAGGACGGCCACACCTGCAGACAGGTTGGTCCCATGAGACAGGACATACTCGCACCCCACCAAAGACCCCAGTCTACCTCATTGTGAGGGTCGCTGTGAGTCTCCTGCAGGAAGACAATATCCAACCGCCTTTGTGTACCATCATTTCTGCGGTAATCACTCTTCTCTGGCGGTCCCTCCCACCATTCATATTTAGAGAACCCAAACTCACCTTGTGCATTAGAAAAAGAGAAGGAGTAGTGATGCAGACAGAAACAGGAAACTAACACAAAAAAGTTACACACATTCATTCATCATCAATCACTGGTCCTCAGCCTCTTGGAACCTTTCCCTCCGTCTCCATCGATCAACTTTCTAAGAGCTGTCCCAGGCTTCTTCAGTCTAAAGCGTTTCTTCTCATCTAGGAGGTTGGTCCTCTTTCCCCTAAACTACCACCAAACCCTCCCCCAGAAACACCCAAAACCACTACTACTTACTCATTCACCCTGTGAAATACTCTCCGCCAAACTCACCTGCTCACCACGCACCGAAATCCGTTTATTTCTCTCTTAGCAGGAAGACACAAAAACAGTCATTTTATCGTTTCAGACTTGTGAAAAGAAAATAGAAAAATAAAATGAAGACTCTTTCAGGCACAGAAACAGATACAAACCCATCGTCACAAACTAATAATGAGCTCCCCCTCCTCCGCCACAGAGCAAAGAACTCCCCCAACAGCCCAAAATTTGCTGAAAGTAGTCACATTTTCCATCATCTTATAATAAGTGAACTCCACTCTCACCGGGGCTTCAGCAGCCCCTTCACGACCGGGACCAGCTCTATACTGCCAACATTCTGCATCCTGTTTTTGCAAGTTAACCAATCAGGAATCAGGAATCAGGAAACAGCCAACTTTGCAGTGCCCGACAAAAAAAAAGTGTGTGTAGAGTGTGTAATGTCTTTTTGTTAGCACTGTATTTTGGCCCGAAAATAAATAAAATCAACCAGAAACCCTCCCCGAGACCCTGGAACAAACAGATGGACCAGATCTTCACTCTGCGAGCAGATCAAACACCCCGCCCCCAGCTCTGGATCAAGGTGTGCTCTGTACCTGTTTGTAGCTTTGTATGCCCCATGTAGCACCCTCCACTGGAGGTCTGCGTTCCACTTCACAACGGGCATTTTGTACAGAGACCGCCAGCTGCCTTTTGGGGAAAGCTCTGGACCAAAGAACTCCATCCACCTCGACTCTCTTATCCCTGGCAATGACCGTAAGTTCACCAGCATGACACAGGTGCGACATCACTTTCTATGATGTGACATCACTTTCTATGATGTCACTGGCTGGAAGGTTGCCTTGGCAACAAGGAACTAATTATGTTGTATTATGGGTAATGTGGACATGAAAGAGAAATCTGTTTTTTTAAGCTTCAAAAGTCTGGATATATGATTAAAAAATACACTTTCAATATTTAAAAATATAAACAAAAGAAGTTAAATTAAGATTTAAACTTGAGACAGTAATAATGACCATGTTGTGGGACCGGGTACTGCATAGATTTAAGGCAACAAGTGACCAACTCCAAAAAAGCGATATAGATTTAGCTACTGCTCTTGGCCTTTTGCGGTCACTGCATTCATATGTTGGCACTCTACGAGAACAGTTTGCAGTGCTCGAAGAATCCGCGCGCACTATTAGTGCCACACAAAACTTCCAGTTTGACACTCGACGTGTGAGAAAAAGAAAGAAATTTGCAGTCGAGTCTGGTGATGACAGTGAAGTAGCTTTTACTTATAGTAGTCAGAGATTTAAGGTTGAAACATATTATGTCATCATTGTTCGTGCCTATCCAAGCGCATCAAAGCCTACACACATGTGTATGACATCTTTGGAGTTTTATTTGAGAGGGACTGCAGTGATTGTGATGTGCGTGAAAGAGCTGCTAAGCTGTGCTCCACATATCCGACAGATCTGGATAGTTCCTTCTCAGACAAACTTATTCAGTTCAAGCACTTGAGACTTCACTTGTACAGCTTTCAATTTAATTCAATTCATTTTATTTTGTATAGACCAAAATTGCAAATTACCAATTTGCCTCAGAGGGCTTTACAGTCTGTACGCATACAACATCCTCTGTCCCGAAACCCACCAACGGCACAGGAAAAACTCCCCAAAAAATGAAAAAACCCTTCCAAGAGGGAAAAAAAGGGAAGAAACCTTAGGGAGAATGTCAGAGGAGGGATCCCACTCCCGGGATGGACAAACTACAATGGATGCCATGTGTACAGAATGAACAATGTATAATACCTATGACAGAAATGATTCAAGTAATTGTGAGTACTAAGCCAGACGCACAGCAGGACCACTTCAGGGGCGACCACCATCAGATAGAGCCACCATCTACCAAAGCCTGTGGGGAGGGAGAGCACAGAGACTTTAGGAGACGGTAATGTTGGTCTACGAGTACAGTAATATGATTAATATCTAAAATAATAATGATGATGATGATGGCAGCAGCAGGCGTCAGCAGGGCCACGGTCAGTGTCAGGACCAGGGTCCAGAAGGAACTACGATCTACGGAGAACTGTTAGGGGAGAATGCACAAAAAAACTCCCGGAAAGAAGCTGAATTAGTGATGATCACTGTACCATAGATATTAAATACTATGACGGTAATCCCCAAATCCCCCGATGTCACCTGTCTTACGATATGTAGCCTCATTGGTCACAATATTATATACATAGAATACTATGAGGTTCACTATTACTTTTTTTCCATTGCTAACAAGCATTGTTCAATACTCAAACCACATTTTCAAAACTCTTCAAACATTTAGCAAAGTACGGACCAAATTGAATCATTTCTTATTGCTCTCAGACAAAATGCATTCAATCACCACATTTTTCCACACTTTTGTCATACATACTCCACAAAACGCAAAAAATATAAAAGTACCTTCAAATCAGAATGATCGCAAATGTCAAACATTTATGCAAATATTATTTTGAAATATAGATAATCAGTCCAAGCTCATAGCCATTTCAGCCTGTAACCAGCCCAGGTGTCCTGCTTTAGTCTCATCACCATGTTTCATTAAAAGACGATACTTGAAACTGATTTTGTTTGGAAATATGGATCACAGATGGCAGGTCATGGGGAAAGAGGAGTGATATGAGGTTGAGCGTGTGGAGCACAAAGGAGAGGAAGACCAAGAGCCTTGCTATCTGATGATATAAATGTTGTGAACCATGGTCTCATTTGGAGAGAGGCTGGTCTAACGGTGTAGCCAAATTTGCACCGCCAGTTGCGCAAATTTTGAGTATGAACCTTTTCAGATGTGCAGGAAAACAAAGGCTGCAGCGTGTCATCCGCTCTGCAGAGACGGTGATTGGTTGCAATCTGCCATCCCTCCAGGACTTGTTCGCTTCCAGAACTCTGAAGTGAGCTAGAAAAATCGTAGCGACCCCTCTCACCCTGGACGTAAACTGTTTGTGACCCTTCCATCTGGCAGGAGGCTGAGGTCCATCAGGACCAAAACCTCACGCAACAGTTTCTTCCTGCCTGTAGTCGGGGCTTGTTAACAACACAGTTGTGTAGAGTATTGTTATCCGTTCGCCAGTGCACTTTATTTTTAACTGTTGACTTTTAATTTGAATTTTTATCCTTTCTTTTTCATTTTTATTCTATATTTATTCTAAAAAATGAAAGTCTATGGCTGCTACTGCATGTATCAGCATAACGATCTCCTTGAGCCTCACCATCATAAGGTTGCTTGGCAACTCAATCAATATTTCTCTGTTGGTGCCTCTCGGTAAAGGTTCCCTTTAAAAAGTATAGTTTTGATCACTTTGCATGGGCAGAAAGCTTTGAGCTACGGGACACGTTGCTATGTAAAAACTGAAAGCCAGCTTTGAAAAATAGACATCACCATTAAGACTCAAAGCAAGCTAACTTACAGCAGCTATTCATGTATGAGAAACCAGAGGCAGCTTCTTTAAGCTCACACGTAGACACAGCATGCTCCAGAAATAGTAGATAGATTTCTATAAATGTTTATGACAACAGCTCTTTTAGCTAAATGTCTTTATTTCTCTATTTTGGCAGCCAAACGGAAACGGCCAAAACCAATAAATCAGCATTCATTTTCTCAGTTGCTTTGGTACCATCTGCAAATTAATCGATGTTTATGGACTGAAGTCTGCATTTGCTCACTAAAGATACAGCACTCATCTTTCTGGAAATGTATCTTAGACTTAATTAGGTGTTTCCATGAGGTCTTTACTAGGCCTTCACCATGATAGTATAAGACAAGAAGCACACAGTGTTTAAGAGTTGGTACGAGTGAGTACAGTGATTGATTTTAATGGCTTCATAAACAATATAAAACAGTTTGTAAAAATTCATGCACTTTCAGTGTAAATTCATTTTGAAATATAGAGGAAATCTATGTACAACAGTGTGAACCATAACAGTGACTTCATTCAGTTGGGTGGTTCACCACAAATATACTTGGCTGCATAGAAACATCGACATTATTGCCTACATAGAAAAGGACTGAAAGGTAAAGAAAACATTTTTGTAAAAAGTCGAGCTTAAAGTCCAAAAGACAACCAGCTTTTTTTCCCAGACGGATTTCAAAAGTCCTTCCAACATACTGATTTCAACACACCGAGGCAGAAGAGCTAAGCACTACGGGATAAAACAGAGAATCATTAAAAGAACTTTCCCTCTCCCAAAAGTGATATTCAGAAAGCATAATTATGAAAGAATTATTACACAAGATCTCATAGAACAACAAAAAAGCCTGAGTTGATGGGGGAAAGTCATAATGAATCCAAAAAGCCTGAGGAAAAATACAACCGATTTACTATTTTACAAAAATTTACAACTGTGTACGTTAACGAAAATAAATGATACACCTTGCTCTCCAAAATAAACAAAATCCAGGGTATTTCTTTTTGTACAGCTCTGATATGTTAAATAATTCACACCTGGTGGAAAATAGAAAACCTGTGATTAAAAGGAGAAATGCTGTAAATGAGGTACTTCAGGTGGTGAGCCAACCAGACATCTTTACATCAACTTGTAATGCGGATCTTGTGACAACAGACTTCTCATCGAGTCAACACTTAAATAAGGTAGATAATTACATTAAGCATGATAGAGAAACATAGACAGACGGATAAACAGACAACAGGCATTTACAGGATCCAGTGTCATTGGTTGGAATTGGAGGCAGCACTCAGGGTCAATTGAGTTTCCAGAGTTAAAAAAAGATAACTTTATAAAAATAACAAATAATTGAAAAAAAAGAACTTGCTGTTGAACATAATGATGCGGCTTCAAAACTCTTTATTACAAAAATAGGTTTAGAATTATTATTTTTGCCTGGTTTGAGCCGCTCCCTGGTGTTAGTCTCCCGGGTTGGCGAGATGAGCTGCAGCGAGGACAGGAGAGCCGTGCTGAAGTGAAGTCCACAGTCCCGTAAGGCCTCTGCTGTGTTGAGTCTATGGCTGCTACTGGCAGACCCGGGCAGCTCCTGTTATGTCTTGCGGCTGCTCCAGATCTGCTCCGGTGTGCTCTTGTGATCTGACGAGTAGTCAAAGGGAGAGCGGTGCCCCATGGGCGAGCGCGAGTCGTAGGGCGAGCGCTGGTCCCGGGGGGAGCGGGGCCCGCTGGCTGAGGCCCGTTGCTCGCTCTGCCAGTCTGAGTGATAGCGGTAGGACGAGCGGTGCTCCGAGTGGGAATGATCCTTCACGTCCAGTCGGTGGTCTCTGCTGGAGCGGAACTCCTCCAGCTTCCTGTGCTTACTGTCATTGTAGAACCTGCACAAACAACGGTAAAGATGATTACTAGGCAGCAACAGAACATTCAATACTCTACACCAGTGATTCCCAAAGTGTGGGCCGCGGCCCCACGAGGGGTCATTTACAATAAATAAAAAAAATTTAATTTTCAATTTTGAAAAGTTTGAAATTAATATAAAAATATTTATATTATTTAAACAATTCTAGCGGCACATTAGTTATGTGAAACATTAGTTGATGAAGCACAAACAATTTAAACAAACAGATTAATAAAACAATAAGGCTCTCGCTCGAAACAGCTGCTCTTGTCCGCCTGTCGTCATTGTCAAGTAATGTCAACAAAAGGCGCCGCCACACAAAACAATGTCCATTGGGGCGCCCTCTTGTAGTATTAAAGTAAATACATATGAGCTCCAGAGAAAATGGTATGCAAAACATACATTGTCGGTTAATACATTTTAAATCGGTTAAATTCTTAAGGTCATTTAATCATCCCTAGTTTATGTTTTGATCAGAGTTGTGATTAAAGGTTTGGGTGGGCCGGAAAAGATTTTCAGATTTCAAATTGGGCCGCGGCATTCTTGAGTTTGGGAAACCGCTGCTCTACACAAAGTACTTTGATATATGAGTGTATATGAACAGAGAGAGCGAGGATGTCTTGGCCATTTTTCAGAGAATATGAATGATAACACAAAAACCTTTCTTTCACTTATGGTTAGTGGTTGCCATTTATCATCATTCAACCTCATTTACTCTTTTTAAATCATAATGATACCAGAAACTACCAAAATACACCTGTGATCTGTTTGCTTGTAATCAGTGTGTGTATAAAAAGGTCAGTGAGTTTCATGGGGAAAGCAAAATAATTGTCAAAGGATCTGCGGGAAAAGGTAAAAACAGGGAAGGAATATAAAAAGATCCAGGGAATTGAGAACGCCAATCAGCACTCTTCAAACTCCAATCAAGCAGTGGGAAATTAGGGATTCTGTTGAAACCAAACCAGGTAGAGCAACCAAAATTTCAGCCAAAGCTGCCAGGAAAATTGTTCGGGATGCAAAGAGAAACCCACAAATAACGTCAGCTGAAATACAGGACTCTGAAAAAATGTGGTGTGGCAGTTTCAAGATGCACAATAAGGAGGCACTTGAATAAAAATGGGCTGCATGGTTGAGTCGGCAGAAGAAAGCCATTACTACGCAAATGCCAGAAAGTATCCCGCTTACAATACCCCATACAGCACAGAGACAAGCCTCAAAACTTAACTTAATAATAATAGTAATAGCAAAGTAATTTGGAGTGAGACCAAAATTGAACCTTTTGGTCACAACCATAAACGTTACACTTGGAGAGGAGTCAACACGTTCCTACTGTGAAACATGGAGGTGGATCTCTGATGTTTTGGGGATGTGTGAGCTACAAAAGGACAGGAAACTTAAAAATTGATCAATTGTCAAAATTGATGGCAAGATGAATGCAGCATGTTATCATGAAATACTGGAGGAAAATTTGCACTCATCAGCCTGGAAGCTGCGCGTGCGACGTACTTTCCAACATGACAGCGATCCAAAACACAGGCCAAGTCGACCTGTCAATGGCTACAGCGGAATAAAGTGAAGGTTCTGGAGTTCTCAGTCTCCTGACCTCAATATCATTGAGCCACTCCGGCGAGATCTAAAACGTCAAAGGTTATTATGCTGCGTTCACACCAAAAGCCAAGAAAATTTTCGCCCCGCTTTACTCGCACGAGTATTTCGCTTCATTCACGCCCCATTTTTTTCGCTTCATTCACACCTGTAAGGGGGCGTGACTTATCTCCGTTACGTGTCTCTGTAAAGACGGTTATCGTTTCCATCATGGCAAAAAATAACCACAGTTTCTGCTCTTTATTTGTTGTGTGAATTACACAAACGTCGGAACTGTAAACAGCGTTGTGTTTGGGTTCATGACGTCATCCGTCGCCGCACACAGCTTGAATGTCCCTGACTCCTCCAGGAAGAGCATCTGAATGACTGCGGCTTCCAGGCTGCTTCAGGCGGACCAGCAGCCGGTCTGATGACCTGTTGTGTCGGCTCGGTGCGTCTCTCGGTTACGAACAAACTAACTTATGGGCGTTCAGTCTCTGTGTGTGTCTCTGGTGAGCGGCCATTTAATAAAGTGTGTTCACGCTGTGGCAGCAGGACGGCGGTGATGTCGAGCGGCGCATCTCAACGCTGATTGGCTTTCATAATTTTCATCATGACGCGTTAATATCCGCCGTACTTTGCCTGTCTGTTGCCTGTCAGCTGCGTGCGAATTTAGGGAGAAAAAGTATCGTGACTTCGTCAACCACCAACATTTTCGTCTCGTCTCGTTAACGAAAGTTAGAATAGATTTAGTCATAGTTTTTATTTTTTAAGATGTTGTCACGTCTTAGTCATGGAAAAAAGGTTCGTTAACGAAAATTTTTCGTCATAGTTTTCATCGACGAAATTAACACTGGTTGAAATATGTCAAGAGCAATTTATTCGCTTTGCTCGTTTCGTGTCTTTCGCGCGGCCCGTTTAAAATTCGCCTCATTCACCCGTTAAACAGCTCAGGGCTGTTCGCTAGCAGAGATCCATGCGGAGCTACCTGCTCCGTTTTCTGCTGTTTCGTATTGGTCTGGATGAGACAGTCATTTAAAAGTAGTCTTCTCCAAACACGTCTAAAATAATAAACTCCTTGCAGCGTTCTCAAGCCTCACGCATTGACCGCGAGACACATGCATATCAACCAGTCCACACGCCACATCTTGAGAAGACGGTGTTAAACCGTCTTGACCACCGTACGTTCGTTACTAAGCAACATAGACGGGCAAACACACGTGGCAGGTGGAGGCCTTTGATACAATTGCTCAGTGCAAGTGAAAGATGTGGCGGCACAGAGCAGGTGGAGGAAAACCCGCAAGGCAGAAACGAGAGAAAAGGTGGTGATGAAGACAAAGAAAAAGTACTGAAAAACTGTTCAACGAAAAGTGGAGGTCCAGTTGAGAATGGCTGGTTAGTGTCCAGCCAAGAAAATAATGTATTGCACTGATTGTAGGACGGTTAAGGAGGTCTCTTTTGTAGTTGGGACAAGCAATTTCACAGTGGAAACAATAAAGGACCATGAGATCTCCGTTGACCATGTCAAAAGCAGTGCGACTAAAGGCTGGCGCTTCTGCGTCTTTATGCACCGTCGTGTCAACGCACTCGTTTCAATTCATGGTTCTAAAAGTCTTGCGTGTGTTGCAGAGCAATTCACCGCCAGAACAACAGGTGGAGTCACGTGTTTTGTTGAAGACGACCTAGAGAGTCACATCTTTGTGTGCGGAAGTCGTTGGTTGGTTTATTTATTAATCATAGACTTTATTGCGCCGTGGATCGCCACATTTGTCCCGTATTTTCCTCCACAACTTTGTTCCCCTCGTTGTGGAGATCTCCCTCCATGAATCAGAGGCCATCCGCGCGTCCTTATAGTGCGGCAATGACGGCTTGTAGAAGTGCTCATATTTACGCACATCTTCCCACAAAAGTTCTTCAATCTGATCCGTTCTCGTCTCGTAAAAAATCTTTGTTTTAATAATGGCGGTTTTGTGCTATGAAAACGAAAATGTGAGACTCCGTAAAGGACCTAGTTAGCAGACCAATCACAGCCTTGCGGGCTGCGGGAGGCGTGCATCGCTTTTGACATTAGTCTAGAAAAATAGGTCGACGCATGAACGAGGGGTGAAAAGGCGCGTGTGAAAGAGGCGCGTCCTTGCGTCTCTGAAAACGTAGAAGCATAAACTAGTGTTGCGTTAAGGTCCCTGGTCCTCATTAAGTCGGCGGAGCTTCACACCCCTTGCTACTCTTTTAGTCTTAATCAGTTGGATTTGTTCTCATACAAAAAGAGCTTTACACGCTTATAAGAGCTGAAGACTCACACATTTTATGCAGTGTTGATTTGGATGTTTACAATGGTCATTTACATTTAAAGGATTGATATTTCTTCAAGTAAATTGTAGCAAACCATCGTCAACTTTAATCAATTAATGTAGATAATAAAGTTCAAGTGAGGTAATTGGTTTGGGCGCAGGCCTCAGATGTTGTCATGATGTTTTATTTTTTATTGTTCATGTATGTGAAATGTGTTAAATTGCCTTGCATATAAATGCTTTGCTACTTATTAAAAGCCAAATCCTTCCATGTAATGATTTTTACATGTCATTTATATTAGCTCACACAAACAAACTTTAGCATTCTTTGTGGCCCACGAGTCAAAAAGTTTGCCCACCCCTGGTCTAGGTTCTCTCACCTGTCCTGTCTCTCTCGGTCCCGCTCCCTGCTGTCTGGTCTGTAGTGGTCTCGGTGGTCTTTGCCGTTGCTGAAGGAGGAGTACGGTCTCTTCCTGGAGTCTCCTGCGGTCTTCCTGTGGGACTCGGAGCTGTGTCTCTCCTTACTGCTGCTGCTGCTGCTCTCGTGGTAGCGACTCGACGGCGGATGTCTGTCTGAGCTGTAGCTGTCCCTGCTGCTGTCGTCCTGGTGCGAGTTGTCTTTCAGCCTTTCAATATCTGAGGACGGAAACCACAAATCCATCAGCACGGTGTTAACTTGCTCACTATGTGATCTTTGTACAGCAGAGAGGAACTGGATTTACCTGCATGCTTAAAGCTGTGGATGTTTATGCTCCTAGTGTTCTGCTCCATCGCCTGCAGAAAGAATATGACATCATTAAAAGATGTCACACTGTAAACCAAATGAAGAATTAGCACAAGGCCTTCACATACCTGGGCGTTCTCTTGTCGTTTCTTGATTGCGTGCTTATACAGTTTATGCAGTTTCCTGGCGTCAAACTCAGTGAATTTAGAAACAAATATCCACAGGTTTCTGTGAAAGACGAACACCATCGGCTTAGAATGGGGAACATTTGAACCAAGTCTTATTCGTACAAATCCTACAAAAGGTGCAACGGATGATTAAACCCACTAAACAGATACAAAGAGTGAGCAAATAGAAATCCCTCTTCATGTCTGAAAATAATTATTCTTTCTCTTACACAATTGAAAATTTCAATTGCAAAAATTATTGATGTGACAGTAGCGCAATTTTCTTTTAAAACACAATTCAAATGAAAAATGTTGTATTTTCATGTATTAAAAACACATATTGTCAGTTTTAAAAGGTGCATTATAACCTGCTTAGTTAGTATAAACGGATAATAATCCACTGGCATTGGCATATAACAAATATCATTTTATTTCATAATGTGATGGTTAAAATGATTAATGATTAATCCACAGTTCACATGTGCAGAACCTGGTATGGATCACTAATGGATAACACTAGTTTTGACCCATGTTAAACATCCGTTGAGGTTTACTTTTGTGTGTGGGTGTGTTTTTACTAACTTCCTCCACTGTTTAATCTGCTCAGGGTTGGAATACTCCTTCAGACACTCAGTGATGTGGTCTCCGATCTTAATGAGGCACTGTCTTGTATGTTCAAGCTGCTCGCGCTCCGACAGCCCTTTCTCGGGTCGGTCCAGCTGCTTGAGGGCCGCTTTCACCGGCCGCATCCTCTCTTTGCACTGCAATGTCAGTTAACATATTATCGGTATTTAATCATGCTGACATTCCATTCTTCAATGACAACATTCAACGTTTAGACAGTTTAAGACAAGTCAATCGATAAACATGTACATACAAGTATTGTTAACGTCTAGCAGAGTCCCTCTCGCTCTCTGGACGAGTCTTGCGCCGTATTTGCCATGAACTGAGTGTACATACCACGCTGAAGGTCTTCTGGTCCAGTTCCTCAGACTCCTCAGATACCGGCACATTCTCCCCAGTTGCTGTAATATGAACTGGCACATCGGAGGCTTTCTTTGTTCGTTCTCGTACCTCTGCCTTTATTTCGATCTGATGAAAAAGATTAGGCACATATTTCAAACCAATACATCGTCTATAGTCTTTGCATTAACTGTGGTTATAAGTTATACAGTAATAAAATACAATTTGTATTTCACCTTTTCCATGCTCTCCTCTTGTTTATGAACCACTTCCAGGGGCTTTGTTTCTTTTTTCTCTTTTGGCTCCTTTGTGTCTTTAATGTCCCAACTTTCCTCCTTAATTTCTCTTTTGCCTTCTTTTTCTAGCAGCTCCCTTTCTCCTGATGAAGACACTTCTTCCTGTTCATGCTCCTCATCTTCGTCCTCCCCGTCCTCCTTCTCCACCACCCGGTCTGCTCGGTTCCGTCTGCTTGGCGCCTTCACCAGTGCCACCTCCTGAAAGGGTCCAACACGCGTTACACAACTCGAATTGAAAACCGGAATAATCCATTATTTAGCACAGGTATAATTTACCTTTTCCTCCTCAATGTCCTCCTCATCGTCCGACCTCTTGTCGGATGGAGGATCTGAGGACGTGCTCTTCATCACTTCGTCGGTCTTTGTAGGCTTTAGACTTTTGCTCCTTTTACTTCTTGGTTTCCTCTTCCGCGAATTAGCCTACATAAATAGAGAGGCATGGTAGATTCTGATCTATCCAGATTTTAAAATGACTGGTATTTAAGCGTCTTAAGTTTGTGACTCAGAGGCCGCTTCACTTGCACTGCTAGACTTACCGTCCCTGCTTGTTTCTGAGCTTCTCTTTTGGCCAGGTCCTTGCTTAGCAGCTTGATGAGGTAGTCTGCTCTGGTCTGCAGCTGTTTGGCCTGTGGCTTCTTGTCAGGGTCATCTGGCAGAAGCTGATCAACAGTGGTCAAAATGGTCAACAAAAAATCAGGAATGCCTGGGCACAAACAATACTCCTTGCTTCTGTAGTGACATTTGAAAGTAAAATAATAATATTAATAAACATATTGTCCGGCAGGCAAATATATTTGTTTGCAAAATTAAGTTTTAAAAAGGAAAGAAAAATGAGACGTTGAAGCATAACAAAATCATCCACAATAACATGACAAGATTATGCCTGAACTCACCTTGTGTGTGAGATTGAGGTCTGGGTCCATCTTGATCATCTCCCAGCTGCCGTATCCGTACTCATAGATTCCTATGAGGAGGCTGGAGTCGTCCTCCTTCCCCCACTCAATGTCAAAGTGTGCTGCCTTTGAGTGGCATGGAATCATATACCTACGCCAAGCAAATATAAATCAAGATTCACATGTTCAAATATATTTGGACATTTTTCGCTACACATACAAGAGCATGTGACCTCATTGGATATTGCCCTGAGCAGTGGAAATAATCTGTGGTTCTCTAAAGATCTTAACGCTTACTTTTTTCTCTCCTCCGGGTCAGCGGGAATGGCTTTGTGGAGTGGAGCCAACTCTTCCTCGTGGGAGATAACAAGCTTGGCATTCACCTGGACTCCAGAGATCCTGAACGTAGGGCCCTTCACCTTCCCTCTTCTCCCTCCTGGTGGTCAAACACGTAAGAAAACCAGTTTAGGAAATGAGTCACTGTACTGTTCTAATCATGAACCGTAGCCATACTGCTATGTATGCAAACAATTTCAAATTCAAGAAATTCACCGTGGCCAAGAGAAATGATAACATTTTCCCACAACTATCTGATAACAGATTCCGGCAGTGAAACCTTGGCTGCATGTCTTACGTGTCTCTCAAGAACTCTAATCTCTAACAGGCGTTTTGTTTCTAAACGGCTTTTGTCTCTAAACTAATGAACTAAACAAATCAGTGATAGAACCCGTTTTTTGTTGGCAGCTTCAACACCCTACTTTTAAGCGAAAGATCAAATTGGTCTTAAGCAGGTTTCAGCCATATATTTTCATATCAAAGATGTGCTGGGTTACCTGAAGTCTTCTCTGGTCCACATGGGTTTTCTCGTAGTGTTCTAAGACAGCCATTGTGAACCGTCTCTGCTAAGCGTTTCAGATCATGTTCAGACTTATCCACAAGCTCAGCATCCCGAGCAATAGCATCCAACCTGAGATGAGACACTTGTTGAGTAGACTGTTTGGCATGTATTTTTTATTGTTAAAAACTATTTCGAAAAATAGGATGCAACTTACCTCTCCAGTGGCCCCCCAAACTTTTTATAACTCTTGACAAACCTGTAAAAAAAAGTCAGAGATAAATAAGGAAACGTGAGGAGGAGGAGCAGATTAATAGCCATGATGAGAACTGTAGAAGATTAATATGATCACCTCCGAATCTCAGCGTCGCTAAAGCCCTTGATATTTTCTCGAGGGATGGTTCGGGGCCGTCCTCGTTTCTTTGGCCTTTTCCGGTCTGAAGGGGAGTCGCTGTCAGACCCAGAATACCTCCTGTTCCTGCTCTGCCGGCCCGAACCGGCGTTGAAGCTTATCTGTTCACACAAATCAAGAAAATTGCCACAAAAGTTTATTGAGAACCCAAAACACAATTGTGTAGCGCACAAATCATAGCTTATTATATTTGGAAAGAATGCCTGTGTACCTGTTTGGCACAATTTCGCATGCGAGGCAGCAGGTAGATTTCCTCTAATTCCTTCTGTCGCTCTTCCTCCTCCATCCTCCTCCTCTGTTCCTCAGGAATGATGCTGTCCCAACTCCGATGACTACGCTCAGAGTCAATGTCTATTTCCTCATCGTCCATCATGGAGAAGTTGGCCACCTGCACAAATCAAGTCACAGCTATAAGTAGGGGAAGCTACTGAAAAACAGCCCGATCAGAACTTTATGTGTATACATTTGTATTTACCTTGAACTGGGAAAGCAGTTCTTCTCCCACAGTGGAGGGTCCAGGATCATTTTCTCTGGTCTCTGCTCTTTTGAGGATCTCGTCGATGTCCATTTCCTACGGAGGAATAAGGACCATGCTTCACGAATGTATTTCAGAGCAAAGTTTTGATTCTGCTCTTATATCATTCAGTACATTACTACACACCTGAGGCTCCTGCTCCTCACCCTCTGGCTCTTTGAAAAGCTCCTCCGCACCAAACTTCAGAATGGAAGACAGCTCCTCCTTGTTGAATGGTGCTGAACTGTACGTCGTAAAGCACACAAATGTTGAAGTGAACCAGGAACTACACAGTACTGATGAAATCACTTTAATTGACCCCAAATGGTGGATAAAAAATAATTATGTTAATGATATGACTTGTCAATACTACGTTTGTCAACACATTTGATTTAAGGAGGTTGATAAACAAAAAAGGGAAAGACAGTGAAGCGGCTTGCCTGGAGGGAGCAGCGCCGGTGTGGAGGACAGTTTTCCCTGTCGTGTCCATCCTCTGGATGACCAGGTGGTCTAGCACCATTTTCTTTTTTGCCCTCTCAATGATTTCCTCCTCCACTGAGCTCTTCGTCACCAGGCGGTAGATATTGACCTGCCAGTCCACAAGCAAACAGTGGAATACAAATACACATATGTAAACACATTGTAGCAGAGAATTTGGTTAAGATCATCATTCATATCAGTGTTAATAAAAGGCATTTTATATCTGAGTTACAGAGTATCCGTGGTAATTCAAATATTTATTGAAATTAAGTTTACTTATAATACACAACATAATATCGACTGATAAAATCGGCCATCTGGCATAACGAGTTGTTTTTTAAATTTATTTTATGGGTTTTTTTCAGTTTCTGTGAACAAAAATGCAACAAAACATTGTAACGGACAAAAAATAAAATACAATATGTATGTAAATTAAATTGAATTAAAGGCAGAAGTTGTATTTTTTAATTGTGGGATTGCTGCTTTTGCTTAAGTAAAGAATTGGAGGGCTTCTATCAACAGTGGAAAACACCTCTCAGCTGAGAGGAGCTGCATTTTTTGCTGATACCAACAGCGGCCCCTTAATTAGGATTTGAGCCTCAGCGAACATGGTGTTACGAACTGAGATTCATGGCTACTGTTACTTACCTGTCGTTTCTGTCCGATCCTGTGGGCTCTGGCCTGGGCCTGGAGATCATTCTGGGGGTTCCAGTCCGAGTCAAAGATAACTACTGTGTCAGCTGACGCCAGATTGATACCCAGACCACCAGCACGCGTCGACAACAAGAAGCAAAAATCCTGAGCACACAAATGGAGATTCATTATACATGTTACAGTACCTAATTTATTTTCAAAAAGCAAGCATTGGATTTTCTTATTACAGTGGATAGAACGTACCTCTGAGCCCTCAGCATTGAAATGATCCAACGCCTGCTTTCTCATCTCGCCTTTGATTGAGCCATCTAATCTCTACGCAAATTTATAACATTTAACATTCAGAAATTTACAACAGAAATATGTAGATGCCATTTAATATTTCTGCTCAACGGTTCCAGTTTTGTGGAGCACATGTGGGTGCGTATGTACAATATGTGAGATTCTTGAGTGAGCAGAGTGAGTAACTACCTGGAAGAGGAACTGTCTGCTCTTCAGGTAATCAGCCAGGATATCCAGCATCCGTACCATCTGGGAGAAGATGAGAACTCGGTGGCCTCGCTCCTTCAAACGCACCAGCAGCTTGTCCAACAGAACCAGCTTCCCACTGCTGCGGATCAGTTGCTGTCGTTGGCAAAGAGGGGCAAACAATTACTGGTCCAGCCTCTCCAATTTCTATTAGGAAATCTATATACACTCAACTATGTTTATTCAGTATGAAATATGTGGGAGCAACAATACATCTGGGAATAAGCATACAGGTTGGGCAGAAACAGAGCAAATGAAGGAGGATTTGAAGGAGAGCATTACAAACCAGATGAACGGGCCAATTGGCTCTTAGTTTTGACTTTACACTGCCTTCTGTAGCAAGTAAATGCTAACTATAAAAGAGGTAATTGAATCACACACACACCTGTAAGGCTTCAGCTCTGTTCAGGAACTCGTTGTCCTCTGGGGGCTTAATGAGGTAACAGTGGTTACAGCACTTCTTAAGCTCCATCATGATGTTCAGGAAGCCTGACGTGCTGCCTTTGGTACCTTTACTCAGAGCCTTATAGTTCCTGGTCAGGATCCATCTGATCACAAACACATTCATTACTATAAATAATATTGATCACTGAACAATTAGTTGATCAAAACCATGGTATAAAACATATCTGTGTACGTTTTTCAGCAAGAGGATGGAAGAATGAAGCTTGTGCGTTATTATATTGTTATTAATCACAGAGGAAAAGCAGCGATTGGCTGATCTGCTGAAAGCACGGAGAAAAAGTTAAACTGAGGTTGCATAGATTTAGATCAACTAGAAATCCTAAACAGTTCTGTGTATCACTCGAGCAGAAGGTGAACACAGATCAACGGAAATTAAGCAGATCTTTTTGCATTGAAAGCTCTTACTTGTAATACTGTTTCTGGATAGCACTCATCTCCACTCGGAGGATCTGCTCCACTTTGGCAGGAAGAGATTTCTCCACATCCTTCTTCACCCTGCGCAGTAAAAAGGGTTCCAGCTCTTTATGCAAGCTTGTGTAGCCTGAGTCTCTGCCTTTACCGTGCGCCTCCTCAAACAGCTCCCAAGAGTGAAACCTTGAAAAAAAAAAAAAGGTACAAGTCACACATCAGTGTCATACTGGCAATGCATCGGCTCATGATACAGAAAAACAAGTCTTGATTCATTTCATTTCTTCTTACAACAAATTGTGTAAAACTAATTGAGTGTCATGATTTTTACTTACTGTTTTTCTTAAAGTGTTTCATGATATATTGCTCTACCACTATACTGTATATCATAACTTTTTTATATGCAGCAGCAGCGTTCTAGCAGTCACCAGTCTGGTCTCACTCAAAGGTCAGACTGCTTCTATATGTGAAGAGTTACACCCCACTTAGTAACAGCCCATCAGCATCGCTGAAGGCTTCTGTGCCAAATTCAATTCTGTAGGTTTTTAGTAGATTAATGCAGTTGGTTGTTATTTGGCATAAGTTATTATCTAAACATAATAATCAATATGGCTTACTTCTCAGGCATAATGAAGTGCAGCAGGGACCAGAGCTCCTTCAGGGAGTTTTGCAGTGGCGTTCCTGTGATCAGAAGCCTGTGATTGGACTTGAAGTCCATCATGGTCTTGTAGAGGAGGGAGTCATCATTCTTCAGTCGGTGCGCCTCATCCACTCCAATGAAGGCCCAGTTGACGTTGCCCAAAAACGACTAAAGAAACACAAATGTTACTAGTTTTATATACACTAACACCACACTGCACAACTGAACTGATTGTTACCATTTGATGAGTCATAAATTAAGGCAATGGAATGATTAACAACAGGAAGTACTGCTGACCTTGTCTTTGAGAAGAATCTCATACGTTGTGAGAAGGATGTTAAATTTCAGTCTCTTGCTATGGACATGGATCCACTCGTGTGTCCTGATCTGTTAAATGAAAACACAAGGAAATAGTCATGAACGAAAAGATGCCTCTGCTGCTTGTATTTCATCTTAACCTTCAATTCCTGTAGAAGGGCACGAGGGATTAAGAAATGAAAACAATGCATTTGTGTAAAAGGTGTATGAATCACTATACCATATTCCTGCTGCTGATGTCTCCCAGATAGACCACAAAATTCATCTGAGGGGCCCACAGCTGGATTTCTCTCTGCCAGGAGGTGAGTGTAGAGAGGGGCACAACCAGCAAGAAGGGTCCATATAGTTGATGATCATTGAACAGGTAGTTCAAGAAGGAGATTGTCTGGATGGTCTTCCCTAAACCCATCTCATCAGCAAGAATGCAACTGTTGCCTCTATAAATGAAGACAGTCCAGAGGAGAGAAATATTGTTGTGGAGCTGCTATTCACTGGCCGTAAGATGGCCGTGGCATGTTAACAGTTAAAGCCCTCCCTCTCCCACTCGTAATTACAGAATGGACATTCAGGCAATGAAAGTTGTAAATAAGGATTTCTTCAAATCTTACTTGCACCAGGAGTGGGCCATCCAGTTCAAACTGTCCAACTGGTAGTCTCTGAGCTCCAATCCATCCCCTCCTATGTAAGTTGGCTGCTTCTTCATAGGCACAAACCTGGGTCTCTGTTTGAGCACCTGGGGAAGTACAACAGTTGGTGGTAGTGAGTGTCAGTCAAAACTCAGTTTGGTTTATTTCATCCTCAAACTGACTTGGCAGTATATTACCTTGCAGTCTCTAGATGGAATGGTCTTTGACTGGTTTCTGCTCATGTAGTCGTCAATGCATTTCTGGAACTTTCTGCCAATCAGAGCGCCGTCTTCCCAGCTACATTCGGAGTATGGTAAACCCTGCCACTTGCATAGATAGTCTGGGTAACCAGCCACTGACTTCTGGTTTGAATGCCCTGCTCAAAAAAGGATTCAAACTATTTAATTGGACAAATCCAATGGAATCAAATGTATTCAACGTCAAATGCTTCAAACAACGAGTGAAGTAGAAAGTGTACCTAAGATTCGCTCTACAAGCTGGTACTGAGAGTGGAGGTCATCCATCAATTCTTGCTGACAATTCAAATACTCTATATCCTCTGGTGAAGCCGCCTTTAACCTGAGAAGAGGACAAAAAGCAGTAGATAATGAGCAATGTTCCAGGCCGAAGCCACCAGTTTTCAGAGGGTGCTAAATACATGTAATAAATAAACATTTAATAAACAAACTAGTCAGAAATTGGGTGCTTAATTGCTTAGGAGACACGACATGGATAGATTTGATTAAATCTTGACCAGTGACGATTGGATAAATTGTTTTGAGTCACATTGATCAGATGGTTCTTGTGGCATCAGTTACATCGGCAGATTACACTGCCAGTCATTCAGGATGAAATTAGTTTTTATGTACATATGGCTATTTTGAGATTTTGGTGAAAATGGTTAAATTGGGTGTGGGTACAGTGAGACTTAGATTACTTTTCATCATATGTGTCCTGGAAGTCTTTCCTGCAGATCAGTGGATAGTAGAAGACGGTGCAGCTTTTTGCTGAAGGTGTGTAAACAGTTGGTTTTCCTGTTTGGAAGACTGTAATGAAGTTTAATAAAGTGTGATGCTCTTGGTTTATTAAAACTAGTAGTGGTCCGATTTTGCAAGTTCAAACCATTTTTGGAATTGCTCGATTCTATTGGATCACAGTAGCATGACGTGATTAAGTGCGTCAGCCCACTGAGCCTCTCTGAAGCAAAAACGTGTTAAGTGTAAAATGACGTTCGGGGCGAAGGTTGATGCTGCTCGTCTCTGAAATTTCCTCCCCAGAACCCGCTAACTAAAACGGGGAATCTTTTCAGAGACGAACAAGTTTGTTCTGTTGAGTATATTTCGGTCTAAAAACGCCAGATTAAATTAAGATTTTTTTCATAACGGCCAGGATAAGGAACATTTATGATTCATACGATTCAGTGCTTGTTGTTTGGTTTCCAATAAATTTGGAAACATTTGTCTGAGATAAACGTAATAAATATAGCCGTAAAAGAGTTGTGTTTGGAGCATTTTTAAACGGATATGTTTGTTGTAACCAAGACTCTGTTTCTGTGGATGTGATGTATTGTACGGTTTCTTTGTGAGGAGTGTCTTTTATGAGATTGTATGTGGCAGAATTAGAGTTTCAAAGGGGCTAACCCCTCTCCCAGGCCCCACCAGTGGGGTTTGGTGCTTAAAAAGCACTCACCATCTTTTTTTCTCCTGGTCCTTCTTCTTAAAATTATCCAGTTTCTTCATGCCCTTGACATTCTGTAACTTCAGCGTCTCCTCTGTCTCCCAAGTGTTGTGGATATGGGCCCAGTTCTTCCACTTTATCAAATACTGGATCTCACCAGGCTCTTTGTTGGTGTTGAAGGTGGCATTGGGGTCACCATCTGCTTCCACAGCGTATACAGTAGTTACACTTCCTGTTGCTGTTAGGGGGGAAAAGGAGTATTGTCAAATATATCTAAGCGTAGATGAACGTTTTTTTTTGGTCAATCTGAAGCATAGATTTTCTGCCATCTCCTTACTTCCTCTGAACCAATTCCTTCATTCATCATGCATCTGTAATGACAATCCTTAAATCCTATGCCTGGTTAAATACCTGTCAAGAGTAACAATTACTGTGTCCTTTACCCCTTTTCCTTCCTATCCTGCTGTCCATCACTCTCTCCAGTGTTTCAAACTCGTCTTCCTCAGGTTGCGGGACGTCTTCACCCAGAACTTCCACGAGGTCGTCCGAATCGGTCTTCAGTTCCTCGTCTTCCTTGTAGCTGACGTTAACTGTGGACTGCCTACGTTGCCCTGCAGACGCTGCCTTCTTGTAGTTATCATCCTCATCCTCAGAGGAAGAACACTTCTGGGATTTCTTCTTTTGGCTGCTGCTTTTCTTCCCATTCCGATAATTCATCCTAAAATATGACCAAAAAAACTCACATCACTTCTTGCATTCCTTCCAAAAGGTTGTATGATCAATACCCAGAGGACGGAGTTGAGTGTCCACTACAAAGACAAATAGTAATCTTGTGTACAAGGCAGTTGGGTTTTAACATAGTTCTATGATTTGATTATTATCATCAATATTTTCCCATAGTGAAGCTTTTAAAAAAAGGAACAGTATGTAAGATTTAGTGGCGTCTGCAGTGCAGATTACAACAACCAAATACAACTGCACGCACCAGTTTCTCTCCAAGCCTTTCTGAGATAGGGATAAACATCTTTAGAATTATATTACTGCTTAGGAACAAGTGCTATTAATGCTCTATTCTTGTACACAACCAAGTACACTTGATTTTAAAAACATAATTTCACAAAAAAATTCATAGCAGCATTTTTCTTTATTTTTTATAAATTATGTTCAAGGAGCAACGTGTACTTTCTGAAGTATTTTTGAAATGTGAATTTGCAGTTCCGTTTTAGAATTAAGGGTTGGAAAAGATAGCTTTTTAATGTGTTTTTTTTTTATCTGATTCATTGATTAATCGAAGAAATAATCCACTGATTAATCAATTATCAAAATAATCGTTAGTTGCAGCCCTACAGCAAAGTCTATTAATACCTTGCTGGGAATAAATTCAAAATGTCATGAAATGATTTAACATTTATAAAGTATTATAAAGAATAAAGAACACACTCCGTAAAGGAACCGCGGTACCTTTCTAGTACCGGTACACTGTGCAACACTATATAGCACATGCATTTTAGTGTTCTTTGGTGGTGTTTCCACTGGATTAATGTTGCGTATTTCACCGGGTGCACAGTTGGTTGTGCAGCTTGACAGCAGCAAGAAGGAAGGGCCTGCGGTACCTCCACTTCACAAACACTGGGGTTGAATCAGCCACTGGCTGAAGGAGCTGTACGGAGCCTCCAGGGCGTTAAGGGACGTTGACACGAACAAACGCGCCACAGTTGAAACAAAAGTTTAAATATTCCATCTTCGACAACAAAACGGTGTGATGCTGCGGCATGAATAAAATAGACTAGATTAGGCTACAACAGCTTCATGCACTGGTTTGATTTATTTGTTTCATGCCAAGGAAAAGTTCTGTGTTTACAGCACAGCTCGCTCGGAGCGTTCAATAACATTTTCAGTTTTAATCACTGAATGAAGCCTGACATATTTGGGACACGAATCGCGACCTTAAATTGCTTGCACAAAACTCTTGATCAGCACTCAGCATTTGTTAATTGTTGTCGTTCATTTAAACAGCTTTGCGCAGAGAGCGCGAGTGAGCGAGATCTGCGACGCAAGCCTCCCGCAGCGCACCAGGCTGTGATTGGTCTGCTAACTACATCCTTTACGGAGTCTCACATTTCCGTTTTCATAGCACAATACCGCCATTATTAAAACGAAGAATGTTTACGAGATAACATCAGATTGAACAGCTTTTGTCGGAAGAAATCCATGAATATGAGCACTTCTACAAGCCGTCATTGGCGGACTATAAGGACCCGCGGATGGCCTCTGATTCACGGAGGGAGATCTCCACAAACGTTGGTTTGCCGGTCGAGAGGAACAAAGTTGTGGAGGAAAATACGGGACAAATGTGTCCGTGATGAAAAGCAGCAGTGTCGATGCACGGGGAAAAGTCTGATAAATAAACAAATAAATAAATAGACGTGCCAAACCAACAACTTCCACACACAAAGACGTGACTCTCTAGGTCGTCTTCAACAAAACACCTTACTCCACCTGTTGTTCTGGCGGGGAACTTCTGCTTTGCAACACGCGCAAGACTTTTTGAACCATGAATTGAAACGAGTGCGTCGACACAACGGTGCGTAAAGACGCAGAAGCGGCAGCCTTAAGCATACGGTATCTTGTAATGGGCCAGTTCTCTCGGCAGAGAAGTATGATGTGAAGGCGGCGAAGTCCAGTGCACGAGCCGAGCCAATGAGCTATTAAACGGGCTAACGGCCAGCATCATGTACCACTGGAAGCGGTAGTCATGCCAGACGCCGTTCCTGTAGAAATTCACCGAGCGGTCTGCCCCTAGGATCCCATTTAGTACACAAACACAACTCTGATTTATGGTCCGATGTGAATAGGACTTCCACAACAAGTACAGAGTCGCTATGTCTACCACTGTTGATGCGGAGGAAAAACAATGGTGAAAAAGTTTATCTGTTTCTGAGTGATAAACCACGACCCCTTTCCGTTGCGTCGGGCGCGAATTCGCGCAAATTGATCACAAATGACACTCTGAGAGTCTTGCGGCGCGTTTAGAGCGTTTTGGTGTGAACATACAATTAGTCCATTTGTTTCTTAATTATTACTTTACAGCTCGGGGATGTTCACGGAGCAATCTGTGCACTTTTTTTTTTGGACCGTCTATTTGCACTGTGTTTTGAATAAAGGTTTGGAAATAATGTTTTTTTTTAATCTGATTAATTGAAAAAATAATTGACTAATTGATTATTAAAATAACCGTTAGTCGCAGCCCTAATTACTGTAAATAAATACCACAGACTTAAAAATAGACCGTTATAGATTTGAGAGATATTATATAACTAATGCATGTTAATTCAAGTTTGAGCATGTTACATTAAACACAAACTAAGCAAAAGTGGAACGTGTATTATAATCACTAATTCCAATACAAGATTACTGCCCACTTACTTTGTTGGAGGCTTTCTGCTTTTGATTTTGTGACTAGGCTCATAGTCCGATGCGGTTTCTTCACTGTTGTCCTCCGCTGATGAGTCTGATCCAGAACCACTTGCAGATCCAGAGCCCGATCCAGAGTCCGAGGAGGCTGAATTTCTTCTTCTTTTCGATCCACTTGATGAGTCTGACCCATCGCTACTCGAAGAGTCCTAGAAGAGATTGAATGCACCTCCAATCAGAGAAATCTCAACTAAGTAAACGGATCTCCAAAGGGTGGTAATTAGTTCAGTCAAGCAGCACAGAGAAAGTGTATTGGGATCAATTCAAACAAACCTCATCAGATCCAGTATTTGAGGAGCTTTGTCTCTTCTGCTGCTGCTGTTGTTGATGTTGTTGTTGTTTTCTGAGCATAGCTGATCTTTGCACTGCTAGGATACTTGGGTTGGACTTCCAGAACTGCAATCAATGAGTTCAGTGTAAAGTTCCCAAAAATATGCAAACAGGTTCACAAGCTTTCACTTTTGACTGAAGCAGTGTTAAACACCCTAAAAGGTGCTCTGAAAGTCTGTGTTGTTACTTGAGCCCCTTTTACACAGCATGTTAGATGCGGGAATGTTGCACCGTTATCCTGCCTCGTCTTTTGTATGAAATGTATGAGAGGACGGAGTGGTTCATAGAGCCAAGCCGCAGCTAGGTGAAAAGAGACAGCGGACGCAGTGAATTGCAGACGCTGTGTTAGACGCCACGCCGCTTTTGTTTCTGTAATGTTGGCTTGCTAATTGAAATGTCATGCTAGGAAACAATAAGCCGCTGTTGCTTGGTTCCGTACAAAAAAGCTGAGCAGGTGCAACGGAGGGTGTCTTTACGACAGTATTGCGGAATCTGTGTGAAAAGGGCTCAGGTCAAAGGTCAAAACATCTTGAGCATTGCAAATCATAAATGTTGTCAGCTATTTCCTGCATAAGACAGTTGTTGCAATAGAAATGCAAAAAAAAAAACTAAATCCAAAGCAAAAAACTTAAACTCAGTTCAACACTGATGGAAATTAATGTAACAGGAACTTTGAAGCTACAATAATAATCAACTCATTACATTTTCTCCACATGTTCGGTTGGAGTAACAAATAGTCCATATTTGCCAATTTCTTTAAAGATCACATTTTTTTTTACCTCAGCTCCATCGATGTTTGACTTATTTGGCGGTTCCATCTTCTCCTTGGATTTCTCTGTGTCAGAATCTGACTGGCTGCCGGAGTCGGAGCCACTACCTGAATCACTGCTCCCCGATTGGCTGCTGCTGCTGGAGGAGCTGGAACTGGAGCCTGAAGCAGAGCCTGAGGCTGAGCCCGATCCAGAACCAGATTCATCATCAGAATTACTGTCAAATTTAAAAGAGAAAATAATTACATAAATATGTGTGCATTAGTAATTCATAGATGGTTTTCACAAAGCAAACCAGTTTCTTATACTAGGCTCATTCAAAATATTAAAAAAGGAGATATCAGACTCATACTTGTATTTATATGCTTCATATGCTTCATATTTATATGTTAAAAAGCATAGAATTTTCTCGTATTGTCTGTGTGAATATCCCTGTATTCACTTTCTGTCTGAAACATTCAGCGTAGCCCCTGTCTCTTTCAGCCCCCTCCCAACATCCAAACCAGACCAATCTAAGCACGAGTCCAGCGTTATATTGGCCTATGTTGAAAACATTCCGTTTCAAAATGAGTTCCCCAAATCCACCGGCTTTACCCAATTCTTGTTGTGACATGCTCTTCATATATGAATTGAATCCACTTGGTTCTTGTGTCTTCTAAGCCTGGGACGCCGTGTAGAGAAATGTGCTGAACTGTGCAGTGGACTTCAGTGCATTTTGAGGTTTGAGTGCTTAAGCGGCGTGTTGGGGAGGGCCACGGCCATGTAAGGGACTCCCTCTTGGTTGGACAACCTCGGCCAACTCCAAAATTTCCACTATCAAAGTGAAATTTTCACATGTCCCCTTTAAAACCTACATCGATGAAATATGTAATACCCTTTACTCAACCTGTTTGGACTGGCATTAAACTCGTTTGGCATCGATTTGATGTAAGTCGTGCAAAATAACAACGCTGTTAACAAACTGTGGCATTCCATTAGACCATCACTGTGTTTATTAACTGAAGATGGCAATGTTGCAGAAATGGGACACAGAAGGTAAGAAAGGATTCTTTTCCAATCTGAAGAAAAGGCTTTTAGATTTAGAATTAGAATAAAAAATATATTATGAGCTTCCTCATTAAAGACAATAATTTATAATAATTGGTGAAATTTGATTAACTTAAATTAATAATGTACCTTGAATCTCCACTGCTGTTGCTTACACTTTCATCCTCACTGCGTCCGGCCATGTTAAAGTCCAAAAAACAGATTCCCCCTTACAACCTGGAGTACTGTGTTCGACGTGGTTGACCTGTATGACAACATACACAGAAGGGAAGTTAGTTATAAGGAAAGGCCACAACAGTGCCCTCATCAAAGCTGGCTAATGTCAGTAACACTGCAATATGCATGTGGAGGATCTGATTTTAGCAGTCTCCGTGGTTCATTTTTAAAATAAAGTTAAAACCAAAGGATGTGCGAATAGCAGCAGATTCCTGTACCATTAACAGTCATCGTTAGCTGTATTGGTTTCCCACACCGCAGAGGCCTATTCGGCCTGCGCGGCAGCAGCATGATTTCATTTCTACACGAAGCTCCATGGGCACTTCAAACACTCAATTTAAACACTAACCTTAGCCGAGGCCAGATATATCTAATTAAGCCAACCGTTCTGTCACCAATGGCTATAGTTTAGCATGTAGCTAATTAGCTACTACCGGCTAATGACGCAAATATTAGCTATTGGCGGGGTACGTTGGCAGAAATGTATTCAGCCACCAACGCGCCAGTTTTATCTCCAAACTCCAGAAGGAACGCAACTAACAGCAAACATGTCGACATTATTGTATTACTACCAGCAGTTTGATTCATTTCGGACACTTCATTGCTACATGTTTAACGTTATATAAAACTGTCCAGTAATTACTGTTTGCTAACATTAGCTCGATTATGTTTAGTATGTTTTAGCGTTTCACAATCATAACACTTGTAAAACACGAAAAGCAACAGTACGCGTTATAATTCCATAATATGCACCGCAAACATGGAAGTCAGCCTTGAAATGCAGTTTTGTACATTTTATTTAACGCTAACGTGGGTTCATTATACATAAAGTTAGAGGGATGATAGTCAAGCGTTTACTTAGGTTGCCAGGGAAAGTAGCGTTAGCTAACGTTATGAAGCACGAGGCTAGCACGGAAGCTAACAAAATGACAAAACTTTGCGCTAGTTCATTTTAGCAGCACGCCGCTGAAATGTTCCCTTTCCGGTTCTAGTTTAGCAGCAAACGATATATAACTGTGCAAATGTCTTTGCAAGTAGTGGGCCACGGTAGATAACTCAACTTATTTAGTATTCATTAGTAAACCCAAATTAGCTAACCTAACTTCACCCTCTTCCATCTTGTTTTCATTCGCCGCTCACTTCTCGCGGCTTTTACCACATCAACATGCAACGTTAGCCTACTCACTCATTGAACTAGGATATAAGTAACTCATCGCTGTATATTACCGGATGTTATTTACGGTTACCTGACAGACTCCAATGGATTGTTGTTGAAATCCTCCTTTGCGCTTCAGAGGTTCTTTCTTCTCTTATTTAATAGGCAAGCTAGCAGCGGCGGTAGCTAACGCTACCTTACGCTAGCTAGCTATCCCCCAGTCAGGGAACTCAGCCCCGAACGATTCAGTTCGAAAGAACTGGTGCAGTGTTGTTGTTTTTCTCTCCTTCCAAAAACCGAATAATTTCCCCTTTCCGATGTATAGGTAAGCAAACTCTCCTGCCCACTGATCAACTGCGATTGTAGAAAACTTGCATTTCAATCCAGGGTCTTCCTAGATCCGGCCTCCGCCATGACGCCGTAGGGTTCACTTCACTAGGAAACCCCGGACAGTGACGTCACGATTGTGCGCCTCATTGCGATTCATCAGCAGCGAACATCTGGACAAGAAATACCTCTACAGGATAAATGGACAAAAAAACTCATTAATGTGTGTCTAAAAACGAAAATTGCTACTTAATGGCGGTGCATTTTAAACATGTTTAACATGGGGCAAGTGGATTAGAAGAAGAACAAACATGATTGATGGAGAAAGAATAATTGGCTATAAAATGTTGTAATAGTTTTGGGGAAGAATCTTGCCAATTGTCAGGGTTGTGAAGCACAAACAAAAACAAAGGACATTTAAAGGACACAGAAGTGCAACAAAAGTCATATGTTAAAGATGATCTGCATTTATCTACCTCAAACATTGATTCTAGAGAGGATCTCCCTACATTAGGTCTGAGCATAGGTGCTAATTAGAGACTGGAGGTGTATATATAATTCACAATATGATTTATTCTCAGTAGCTGGTGAGATTTGGATGAATGAAAGAAAGGCTGTTGTCTGTTGTTGTTATGGGAAGGAAGGCTCCGACATGCAAACTGTAGAGAAACTATGGAGTTGTTCGTTTAAACATAATGTGTAGGTTAACTTGGATTTAAAAGAAATTACTTAATCTCTTGGTTTCAGAAGCCAGAGGGAAGTGTTGGATTAGAATAGATTATAAAATGTCACTAGTTGGAGACCCGATGTAATTATACAGTTGGGTTTCTGTTGTCCTCTATCAAATAATAGGTTACGGTTATTAATGCATGCATAATAATATAAGACATATTCTTCCGTTATATAAGGTCCGTATCTATTTTGTAGGCCAAAATGCAGTTTTACAGTTACAATAGCCTGTTTAAAGTAATCATATAGCAAATAACTGATCGATTCCGATTCTGCTAATAGATTAGGGATTTGATGAAGATATGGTAGCCTTCGTGTTTTGAATTCCTTACATATAGCCTAGCAGTGCTCTGCTCTAAGCAGATAACATGGCATGCAGTAGCTAATAACATTCATTACAACTTGGACTAACCCCTTCAAAGACTTGGAATCTGCTTCACATACATATCACCAGCAGGTGCTGCTGCTGCTGCAAAACAAGCAGTTGATTCTAACAAACAGAGAGAGCAGAGGGATATGGCACGAAAGTACAAGAAAGAAGAAGAAATCCAGGATAACTGAAAAGGCGCAGTTTGACTTAAGGCTGGCGCATGCTTCTAGCCTTTAGAAAATGGCAATTCCTCAGCTTCACCCCAGCTGAGAAATTGGCCCTTGTTTAAAACCAAAGAAGGCCTGTGATGGAAGGGATTCATGGTGGGACAGCTGCTGGCTACTGACTTTCCACCTGCAGAAACTGCCCTGGTATGGTACATTCTCCAGTACTGCAAACACAATCACCCATGTATACGGAATATGTGGACTGTCTTGTGGAAATCCTCTTTGATTTACTCACACTTTTGATGTTAATGAAGCTTGATCCTTAGTATGAAGTTATTTCCCCATTTTTATTTTACATTTGGTAATATTACAGTTACAGGAAACACTACAGCTCAAATAAATGTAATTACAAAATGTGTTGTTTAGTTCTTGTTTCATATTTTGCTTTATTCAAGGAGTGGGACTAGTTTATTTGCAGATTCATTTTCATGTTGTTTATATATGTTTAACTAGTGACATCGTTAAGACCACGGTAGTCGATGCAGGGCCGAAGGGGGTGGTCCTTGTCCACAAAAAGGAAACCGGCCCCCCCCAGCTGCCAGGGAGTCGTGGATGTATTTCTCCATGGCCTCTCTTTCAGGGCGGAGATCTTGAAAAGGCGGCTGGAGGGTAGGGGGGCGCCAGGAAGCAGGTTGATGGCACAGTCATAGGGCCTATGTCGGAGCAAGGTTAGGGCTCGCTAAGTGCTGAATACCTCCCCTAAGTCATGGTAAATAGGTGACACTAACGTGAGGTTAGGGGGCTCACTAGTGGGAGTTGCAGTTACGTTAGTGGGGGCTGAGGCGGACTGGAGACAGTGAGAGTGGCAAAATGTACTCCAACTAACTACAGCCCCTGTGGACCAATCAATGTGGGGGTTGTGACGTCTGAGCCAAGGTTGGCCAATAACCACGGGAACATGTGGTGAGGAAATGATCAGTAGGCCTCATGGTGATTACCGGACAGGTGAAGGCTTAAGGGAACAGTGTGGTGAGTGATATTAGCCATGAGTTTTCTGTCCAGGGCGTAGACCCTCTTGGGGACAGGTATATTCCGGTCTAAGCGACGATGGCGGAGTCTATAAAGTTCTTCTTTGCCCCTGAGTCCACCAGGACATGAAGTGGAATGGACTTCCCCTTCCATATAAGAGATGCCTTCATTGGGGTACAGGGTGGAAGGGCTGAAGTGGAGGTATGGCTCATCAGGACCCCTCCAGAAACTCATGAGCCTAGTCTTTTGGCAGGAGGGAGCAGGAAGGTGGTGGCCAGCCTGACTGCAATAAGCACATGGGCCAGCCATTGCGCACCTTTGGTGCTCTGAAAACGGGAGGCGGACGCGACCCAACTGCATCGGCTCCTCATTGAAAAGTGGGGGTCGAATGCTGAGGGGCAGTCCCGGGGCAGTCTGATTGTCGGCTCTAAGCTGCGGCGCTGCTTAAAGCTGATTGGAAGAGGTGGAGGCTGGTCTGCAGATGGTGCGCTCTCTACGTCGCTCCCGGATGCGGTTATCTAGGCGGGTGGATAGGAAAATTAGGGAGTCTAAGCTCCCTGGTCGCTAGCTCATCCCTGATATTCTCTGCTAACCCGTAGACAAAAACACTCTGCAAGGCAGTGTCCTCCAACCCACTCTCTGTAGCTAGGATCCGAAAATCCAATGCGTATTCTGCTACCGTCCCGGCACCCTGACGAAGGGAGAGGAGTCTGCTGGCTGCTCCTCTACCCTGAACGGGATGATCAAAAAACGCTCTCATTTCTGCTACATTGTAGGAATTACAGATTGGTGACTCCTTCTCCCATAAGGCTGTGGCCCACTGAGCAGCCTTTCCCGTAAGTAAACTGGTGATGAACGCAATACGAGACTTATCTGGGGCATATGTAGTTGGCTGCCGCTGGAAAACCAGGGAACATTGCAGGAGGAACCACCCACAAGCTCCCAGATCTCCTGTGTAGCGTTCCGGTGTTGGTATGTACGGCTCACGGGCAAGCGGAGCTGGAATGGGAGGAGCCGAAGGGGGTGTAGAAAAAATGATATGTTTCCTTGCTCTTATGAACCGTTTGTTAAGTGCCCGCTCGCTCCCTTCATCGGGTCCATAGTGCCCCCCCCCCCCCATGTCTAAACCATGGTTACCCCATTGCCTCTGCTCTTTCTGTTTGTTAGAATCAACTGCCGCAGCAGCACCACCTGCTGGTGATAAGTATGTAAAGCATAAGGAATTACGCTGCGTTCATGTTCAATATGCGTGTCTTTTTTGACCGAAGAATTGCTGCTGATTTATTTCGGAGAGCGTCTTAGGGAGGTTGAGTGAGGTTGTTGGTCCAACGCCAGCCTCTCCCATAACGGCCAAACCTGTACTCCGTGATTTGAACATCTTCCAGGCTTTACCCTGCGATATGAGATGGAATATCTATCTACCTTCTCGTTGACTTTGTTTACGGTGATTGACCAATAGGAAGTGACCCAAGATCCCAGTAGCTGTGAACGGAAGTGTCAACATTCCCACGGAGGAAGGACGGGACGCTGCTGCTGAGCCGCACAGGACCACGCGACTCTCCCACGGACTGCTTTTGTTCCCCACGTCACTGAAAGGCACACCGGCTGGGATGAACACACATGCAGTCCACGGGGTGAGTGTTGATCCGCGGCATGCTGACACTCCTCCTCCGGACTGCATGCGCCAGACGCTCCACGGAGCAAAGGTGGAGCTCCGCGTGGGGCTGATGCGGTGGAGCCGCTACGCGGCGGAGGTAATGCGGCGGAAGTAATCACGAGTACAGCCAGGCATCCACGTCCATAGAATCCTCGCTGGAAGTGACACGTTAACCCGTCGGAGACACTCATATAGCGAGTGTGTCTTAAACCGCGGCGTGCACGTGGACGCATATGGGATGAGGTCTCTAGGTGAAGCTTCATTGTTGCCCGAATGAAACTGCAAAATGGAGCAGAAACTGTGCTCGAAGCGATGTGCATGAACTGTGTTTGGTACTTCCGAATAGTCCCAGCAGATGTGACGCGGGACGTTGTTACACACTCCCAGTTGCAGGTTTGTCTTGTACCATTTGTTGTTAATTGACTGCAAATATTTCTTGAGGGCCACGAATCATGTGACCAGGTGACACTCTGTATTCTTAGGGGATGTTCTTCCTTTAACTGGTTGGTAATTCTTCCAACTTTCTTTCTTTCACAACATTCAAAATCCATGTGTGACTGATGGTTAACATCAGAATTTATTAAACCATTTATTTGCCAAGTATGTTGGACATAACAGGAATTTGCCATGGCGGGTGGTGCATAGATGGCAATGGAAAATCAGACAATAACTTAAATTAACAATAGAGTATACAAAATTAAAGTACACAGGCAAACAGATAACAATAATACACTACACACAATTGTGTCAAGTGTAAATGGAGTCAGTGAGTGGGAGATCCGGCTCCGACGGCTCGGCCTCCTGCCAGATCAAACGGACACAAACAGCTTTTTTCTGGGGTGAGACGTCTATGTCCACGTCCTCACCCAGAACTCTTTGTTGTTTGTGGAGACGTCGTCTCCCTCCTGAAGTCCACCACCATCTCTCTGGTCCTGGATACAATCAGAGTCAGGTGATTTCTAACGGCCCAAAGTAATCTACAACTGCCCGATGCTGCTCCTCTTGTCCGTCCTTTATACACTCGAACATTGCAGAGTCATCAGAAAACTACTGCAGATGGCATGACACAGGAGTCAAAAGAAAACCCATGTTTATACTGTATGTTAACATGCCGTTGCTCTGAGAGTGCCAGTTATATTGTGCTGATAACATTGCTTTAAAATAAAAGCAGGCAATACAGTTGATAATTCAATATTGAATTTTGTGCATAATGCGATTAATCGCTGTTAATGACAGAACAGTCACAGTCAAGTTAATTTTATTCTTCATTTTATTCTTCTTTGCCATATATATATATATATATATGCAGAATACAATTAACTTGACTGTGAATATATATATATATATTCCTTGGAAAAGTGAAAAATTGATTTGGTTATTAGGAAATTTAACAGAAGTTACAATGTTGAGGACAACTTGAATTAGTCCAACATGCAGAACCAAAACTGTCTCATACCAATCCTGTTGTATCCTGTTAAAGGATAGCGGAATTAAAGAACTGAAACTGTACAAAAGAAGCTTGTGTCAAACAAACTGTATTTTACATCATGATAGTGTTTGCGTGCGTTTGTGTCTGTGTTCATTTTACTCACTTGTAATTTTTTGCCATTTGTCAGTAAAACAAGAAAGTGATAAAATATGAATGAGATACGTATGTCATTTGTTATTTTCATTAGGGCGGTTTCTGTGCTGTGTTTTGAACGGAAGCTGGATTGGAATGATTCGTAGATATTGTGGAGATTGAGGTGGAATTTGAGTTGTGATGCCATAGCTTTCTCAAGGGATTTGGGGAGGTTGGAGTAGTTGTTGGGGATGTCAGAGTTCAGACCAGGAGAGTGCATCATTCTAGTAATTAACCAAGAGGCAGCTTGTCAGAGTTGGTGAAGTTGATGCTGGTTAGATTGCTGATGGCTGAATGCCGGAGGTGCAAACCAGGTCAAGTCTTTTTCTTTTTGTCTTTTTTAAGGGTGTGAAAGTTAACACATTAGGTGATGTTCTCTGCAGGAGTTCTGCAGAGGTACTAACAGTACTTTGTTCCATTGTGCATCAACAGCAGTCTCTTGGCTGGAATGCCCTGTGGTTTTTCACCCATTCTGCAGACAACTTACTCCCTATGCACTCAATTTATTTGTCAAAAGCAAAAGTAATCCCCCAAAAATGTGTTTCGCTCCAACCTCAATCCACAATGCAGTTTTGTTGTATGGTAACGTCATTATTTTAGGAGACAGGGCCGGAATAAAGTAAGTACCACTGTTCTGGGAGACAGCATTTGCTTCAAGTGAAAGGAACTAAAAAAGCGCACAAGAGAAGTTCTTAAATTGATTGGTTACACAGAGAAGAATAGATGTTTTTCAAGTAAACAAGTAAGATTAACAGTATTGCTTATTTTTGATTTGACAGAACTTCATACATTTGTGTGTTACCAGTTAAAGTACTCTTCTCATTTTATACATGAAACAGGAACTTGACAGAAACCAATAGAGAAGTGGTACTTGCACAGACAGATATACACGTAGTTTAAAAATAATTAGAAAAGATGCCTTTGCATAGCCTCTCTTACCGAGCTCTGTCAAGCATCTGTTTATTCAAATGAAAAGAATTCATTACAAATCGTCCACGGCTGGGTCAATATATTTATTCGAAAAAAGACGTGCTCTGTATTCCATGTGTGTAAGAAACGTCTGAATCAACTCCAAAGCTTCCCGCCACAACACTCCACAAATACTAAAAATAAGACTATATATAGATTGGCCTCCTTTTGATGGTAAGTGTTTAGAGAAATGTATGCTTCTTCTTTTTTTTATAGCAATCATAATTATCCGTCACAGCAAACACATCCGTAACTTTTTTTTAATACCAGGTTTTTATACCAGGTTGTTCCACAAGGTGGAGCCAAGTGGATTCAAAGTTCTGAGAGGAAGTTTTGGAATAACAAAATTTCTCTTTAACAGAAAAAAACTTATTTTATACTTCGGGTTAAATAAAACCAGACCAGGACTTGCGTAATAGCTGCAGCTCTAAACCAGCTTGTAATACAACTACGACAGTTCACATCCTTCATTCGGAAGAGACGTGAGCAGAGGTTTCAGTTCAAAGACCATAAATTGTAAAGAACACATCATAGGGGGAAAATTTCCATTGTTCATTGCCTCAGTTTAGCTTGAAGATGAACTACAGGCTGTATATGGCAGAGTAGCTTAAAATGTCACAGTGTTGCACAATCTCTGCTCTGCTGTGTTGTAGATGCGCTGCTGTCTTCCTCTTGGTGCTGTATAGTACTTCAGAATAAGTAGAACATGATGTGGTGTCTCGCCTCAAGTAGCCCTAGAAGAAGTCACCTGATGAAATGCCTTCACTTCCCAGAAAGGTCTCACTCTTGAGGTCTAAATCTCATTCAAAACATTGTTCGTCACAAAGTAACACACATCTTATCTCTCTTGCTTTAATAGAGGGAATACATTCACATTTTGAAAACTCTTTTACTAAAAGTACATTTTGGGACATAAGTGCTAATTAGTGAAAGGCTGAAAGGGTGTTGTGAGTGTGAAAAACACTAAAGCCAGCTCGCACTTCCTGGTTGGTGAACACACACAGTCGCACACACAAGTGAAACTGCAATGCCTGTGTGTTAGATCGTAAAGAGGCATTTTTAATATAAAATATATCTATATATATTTATAGTAATAAAATGCTTTATTTCCCTGGCAAGAAACATCCAAGCACAACTTTCAGGTTACTTGAATTGAACTATAATAATTCCAATTTATACTTATACTCTACTTTGCTTTTTGCCGTAACTATTGTACTTTTAGTTCCACTAGTTTAGTACAAAATAATTCTAACCACATGCAAATACACCATGTACCATGTACACATTGTAAGCACCGTTTCTTGTTTTACTTCAACACATTTTGCTGATAACACTGTCAAATTGAATCTCAACACCTGCTCCACTGCTGAACAGAACACTCAGCAGATCAAAAAATACTGTGCAGAAAGAAAAGCAACAAAATTGCATCCTTCTATTCCATCGGTGTAAAATAAAATAATTGCCACATTCATACATTAATATTATTACACCATCTTTTACCCATTTGTATTTTCTGAGTTGCAACGTTTAAATGGTGATCCTAAAAGACAGACCTGCTCTTTCACTACCAGTGTGTGAATGTATGAGTGAATTAGTGGATGAGAATTTGTTGTCCTGTAGAGATGCGCTGTACAAATTCATCCAAATAAATGATTACGGTTTTAAAAGATATCTGACTGCAAAACCTACAAAATAATGAAACAATAAAAATCGAATAATTGTAATGAACCAAACATTTTCCTTCAAGAACAATTAATAATAATATAATAGGATCAATAATAATTATAATAATAATCAATCTAATAATATGCTACATTAAAGGCCAGGGCTTGAGACAAAAAGAACACGCCCAACTACTGATAGATGTTTTAGCTTTCTACTGAATCTCAGGGATTAGACGATGATGTTTCTCTCTCAATTAAATACATTAAAGGCAATTAAACAAAAATGACTAATTAACACAACTTCATGACCATTTAAGTCTGTTAGCACACCGTTTCCTGTGCGCAGCAGAAGTGTTGGTCAGCGTTAAGATAATAAAAAGGAAGTACAAGACATACATTGTGAAGGAAGTCGTTGAAATGAGGAAGCATTGGCGCTCCACCACCGCACAGTAAAAGTACACAGACTGTGAATAAACTGTGAGTGACTCTTTTCATAGACTTTTGACTGCATGTTTTTTGTTCGCCAGAAGCAGGCACACGTTGCTCAGACTGCTGGCAGCGGACGAAACAAGTGACTGAAAGAACCCCAAAACAGAAGGATCTGTGACTACCTCCTCACTTCGTATACGGTAAGTGCAGCATTTGTGTTTCCTTTAAAATAGACTTTGGACTTCACTACCTCAGTTCTTTCACACAATGTTCAAGAATGACCTAATGGTCAGCGTTTTATTTCAATTGGAATTTATATATTGAGATTCAGGAAAGGACTTGTAACGTGTTGGGTGTCCACTCTAAATAATTTAGTTTGTCCAATTCTTTTTGTTGTGGAAAGTAACAGAGTACTGTTCTTAATAGCACTTTTAGGGACTCTACTTTAGCACTTCCTTTTCTGCTACTTACTGTGTCACTGCAATTCAGATGGAAACTTTGTACTTTTATCTCTACTACATTTTTGTAACTGTGCAGATTAAAATCTAACAACAACAAAAAACACATTTGAAACTTCTAGAATACATTAAAGAGAGAACCAGGGGTTTAACCCCTACTCAAATGTAGTGTCTACATTTCAGATGTCCATGAGGTCTAAGCCGTTTCCTTCTAAGAAGGGGATAAAGGCATGCATTATTTCACAAAATAATATTACATTACTGCATATTGAAGCATATTAAAACATAACAGAATATGTTCATTGTTAGATTATGAGACATTTGTAGAAACATATAACACACTTGCTAAAAGATTTTATATTATAATGATTATAATGTTAATGCCTAAAGAGTTCATTATAGTTGTTTAAAAACGCATTAAAACACACTTATAGAGTTCAAAGAGTTTCACACACTATGTGTTTTGCAACTACCAGATTTAAAGCTTGGCCAATGCCCTGTTTTTAGGGTTAATATATCCTTTTAACTTAACTCCATGCTCAGGGATAGCGCTTTGGATATTTTGATATATTTGGGCTGGCGTCAGAATCAAATTATAGTAACACTTACGGTAGTAAACTTTTTTTAATGGAAAATAAATTTACCTTTTCAAAAATGATATAAAATATAATGAACAACAAAATAGTGTAAGTATTTGCTACATATCTTTCCTTTTACGATGTGCAAGTTACTGAAATGTTGAAAGATAGTTATTTGGATACTTGAGCTAATTGTAATATATGCAGATTTGGAGAAGGGAGTTCCTGTAAAAAAGCTGCAATTCTAAGTAAACCTACCCAGGCTAAATACATTACGGCAATAAACCTATATTAATAATACTAACTAAACAGTTCTAATGTTATGTTCTTATGACAATAATTTATAAAATATTATCTGGTCCTTGACACCAGCTTTGTTCATCCAAAATACCCAAAGCTCTACTAATCAACATTGTCCTACCATCTTATATGACATGCACTATAATCAGGTTTCTTGAATGTTTGATTTATTGAATGAAATAATCAGTCAGAAAAGATGCTTCAGTTCAGAGCTACCAACTTGCCATCTTGATCCAGCCTGAAACAGCATCGCAGTCTTGTCTGTGTTGCTCAGTAGTTTAGTAGCTAGTAGTCCTAATAGAACATCAGCAGTCAGATGTTGGTTATAGTCTGATGATTGGTTGGTATGTTCAATGGTTAGTAATAAACCAGCGTATCTGATCATCTACTGGTTACATTGCCTTGGAATTTGGTATGAAGAATAAGAGTTCTAGAAATGATTGTAAACTCAAGACAGCCATGATGTACGTGTCCTTTACAAGTTCAGGTAAACTTTAAACTTTAGTGTGTGACAGGGGAGCTGATGCCTGCCTACATCAGCTCCCTGTCACACACGAACCTACACATACTTAGCATGACAGCATCAGAACATCCCCCCAATCTCACTCTGCCAATCATAGGCATCCTCACGTGTGCCCCGCATCCCGATAGGTATCTAGAAGGATTAAGAGGATGAACTGCTTCGCAACGGTAAATGTTAGTATCCTAATGTTCAATTGAACATTAGTATCAGATTGACATGATATGTCACTCAGTCATTTGTAATACTTTCACAAAGTGGAATAAGCCTCCACAATAAACTACTGAGGAGAGTTCTGGAGAAAGCCTGGAGAATACATGCTTCATTCAAAGGTCTGTAAGTCAAAACAAACTGCCATACTCTTCTATATGGGGAGGAGCGAAGGCCTCCATCGTTCGGTCTTTAATTGACCTCAATAAAGGGCTACACATGCCAGTGTATTTTTTTATCCTCTTCATACGAGTTTAACATTGCAATAACAAGTAAAATAGCAATAAAATGTCAAGAATGTCATAAGTCAATAAAACTAACTACTGTTTTATATATACAATATAACCATATACAACTTTAAAAGTTGTGATATCAATTAGCTTTTGCGACTCCAGACATTTGGATAGTAAAGGTTGCAGACCCCTGCTTTAGCTGTGTGTTTTGTCTTGGAAATGTAACCTTTTACAGTGTGTTTTTACTGTCAGGGTTGATTGGTCCTTTGCAAGAGGACTTCCTCAAAAGAGCCATAATCCAGAAGACAACATGGCTGACACAGTGAATGCATTGCCGTTCTTCTACGGCAACGTCACCAGGGAGGAGGCAGAGGACTACCTGGGGCAGGCCAGCACGGGCAACGGCACATACCTGCTGAGACAAAGTCGAAACTATCTCGGAGGATTTGCACTGTCTGTGTTTCATTCGGGCCGCTGCTACCACTACACCATTGAAAAAGAGCCCAATGAAATGTATGCGATTGCTGGTGGGAAGAGCCACAAAACCCCGGTTGATGTGATCGACTACCACTCACAAGAGATGGACGGCCTTGTGTGTCTGCTGAAAAAGCCCTGCAACAGGCCCAGAAACATGCAGCCAAAGATCGGGGCGTTTGACGACCTGAAGGAAAAATTGATCCGGGAGTATGTGCAACAGACATGGAATCTACAGGTTAGTTTCAACTCTTGTAAGTAGACTGAAAGGTAATTTTCAACCCTTTTTCTGTCAAAATCAATTAATACACATTAAGTGAAACACCCCCATTTGATAAGAACTCTAAAGAATTTTAAAACTAAGACCAGAATACTAGTGGTCAGCTGAGGAGATTACGGTAGAAGAAGTGAAACTTAATTTTTAACTTAATTAGTTTCCTAATAGAAACTTTTAAGACTCTTACTCACATTGCGCTCAATTCTAAAATAAATTCAATAGTGAATATAAACTATTTCCCATTTTTTTGGGCATCCCCTTGTCCCTGGGTATCGAAGGATTTAGAACCTCTGATTAGAATATGTACAATGTAAACATGTTTAAACAACTATTTGGGCAACTTCACGTATTCTTAGTGAAGCCACCTTGATCCCAGATGTCATTAATTGCTTTGGAGTATACAATGTTATTATCGTGACAGATTGATGGCTAGAGCAACAGAAAATAAATAAAGTTGTAATAAACATTTACAAAAATAACACAAATAACACATACTAGATCACTGTGACGCTTTTTGTTTACCTGTGTGCATAAATAACGCTGAGTTTACGTAACTGCCTTATGCTTCTGTGAACATGGAGGATTCAAGAGGAAGCAGATTAGAGCTTAACCAGCCTTGAATATGTTCACTGTTAACTTCAACCTGGTAAACATAAGTGACTTACTAGTAATCAGAGTTGATAGTAACGTTCTAAGAGGTTACTATAATATTATTGCTGTGCACACATCATAAAAAGCTTGGCCTGCATGTTCTTCCTATGATAGGCAATTTCTCATAGCTCATGTGTGTGTGCAGGGAGCAGCTCTGGAGCAGGCCATCATCAGCCAGAAGCCTCAGCTGGAGAAGCTTATTTCTACCACTGCACACGAAAAAATGCCTTGGTTCCATGGATCAATAACACGAGAAGCCTGTGAGCCAAGGCTTCAAAATGGCTCCCGTGTAAATGGAAAATTCCTGTAAGTACAAGTTTCCTTGTACGGCTTTGACGTAAATGGTGTGAAGTGGATAGTATCTAATCCAGCGATTCCCAAAGTGTGGGCCGCGAAGGTACTGCAGGTGGGCCGCGAGAGGTCATTTACAATAAATAAAGTTTTTTAATTTTCAATTTTTAAAAGTTTGAAATTAATATAAAAATATGTATGATGCGGCACATTAGTTATGTGAAACATTAGTTGATGAAGCACAAACAATTTAAACGGACAGATTAATAAAACAATAAGGCTCTCGCTCGAAACGGCTGCTCTTGTCCGCCTGTCGTTGTTCAACAAACGGGGCGCCCTCTTGTAGTATTAAAGTAAATATACCGCATTTTCCACACTCCAAGGCGCACTTAAAAGGCTTTAATTTTCTCAAAAAATGACAGTGCCTTATAGTCCGGAGCGCCTTATATATATGGATCAATCGGTTAATTGGTTGATCCATACTGGTTGTATGCGGCGCTCAAGGCGCTCTGCCAAACATGCCAAAGCTCGGTCTATGGCGGCGAGATGCTGAGCGGGTGCTCAAGCGCGTGAGATATGTAGCTTGTTTCAGGGCACGTCGGAGAAACAAAGCTGTCGTTCTCGCCGAGCACTTCATGAGATTAAAGAGCGAGAGACGGTGCCCTTTTCTCTACAGTAGCTGAACCATCTTAACGGGGGAAATAAGTTATTCTAAAAGCAGCCGAAGATTTAAGGCGTGGATGGCGAGGGGGCGGCGGGAGCGGACGCACCTCGCGGCATCGATCGGACCCTGAAAGCACCGTCTCCTCCTTACTGTCAAAAAGAACAACAGCGAGCGCGTAGAAAACTCCATCGAGCGCGAGCAGAGATTCTCCTCGCGAGCATCGAAGTTCAAGTTTCGCATGCGAGCAAATACCTCGCGGAGACCAACTTTTACTCGCGGATGTTTGATTTTGGTTAAATTCTTAAGGTAATTTAATCATTATGTTTTGATCAGAGTTGTGATTAAAGGTTTGGGTGGGCCGCGAAAGATTTTCAGATTTCAAATTGGGCCGCGGCATTCTTGAGTTTGGGAACCGCTGATCTAATCCATTCAAATTCAACCGTTTAAATCACTATTTGTGAAAATGTGCGAATTCCCAAAATTCTTAACATGCTCAAAAAACACCACTAACCTTTCTTTCGCCCTCTTAGATTTATGAAGATAAAAAACATGAAACCTGTAACTCGATTATTAGAGTTCGCTGATGGGGTCTTATTTCATGGCTCTTTCCCCAAATGTTACCGGATAAGTTGATTGACTGGTTATTTGACAAGTACATCTGTGGCTGGGAAATCCGCCGGTAAATGAGATTAATGCTATCGTATAGGAAGTAATTTAACAGAAATTTAAATTACATCCACCCCCCAAACCAACATCCAGGCCTTTTGCCTGGATGTTGCCTTTTTAGTATCATACTGCTGAAATGTAGTTAACATCCTGCAACATTGTGTTTAACATTGCATCATGGGTTTAACCGTCAAAATATAATTGGGGTTAAAAACAGATCTTGAAATAAGAAACGGACATAATGTCATGTGGTGTAGTGTCATGTGTCAGTTAAAGCACTCACCTTTTTGGTTTCTCTGAGGAAACCAACGCTGGGCCCTAAGTAAATGTCCTGTATCTGTAAAACTACTTCAGCGACCCATTTACAACACCCTATCCTCTTGATTCCTTTTTCTTCATCTTATGGCCTGGCTCTATACAGCACATGTTGCTTTTCTCCTGCAGGAACTTACCCTGTAGAGAGGGGCTTGTCTCTGCCTCAGGCTGTGATACAAGGTTTTTCCTGAATTGATACTGTAGGCAATTTTAGTTTGTGCTTGGCAGGTAAACAACAATGGATGACTAGCGCTGATATTGTAGTTTTTAATTGATTTCAAGTTGACCTGGAATATGCATATACGTTAAGATAGGCATAACCAATGGACACACTTTTGTTAGTTCTGTTTTTCACATAAGAATCTGAGAAATCTGACAGAATGTGTCGATAGCAAACATCTAATAAAAAAGCAACAAACAAGTAAATTAGTATTGTTTACTGAGGGTTGCAATGGCCTGTCCAGGGCCACAACAACTAATTATCTTTGGCGGAATAAAAAATGTAAATGTTACAGTGTTGGTTCTGAAATTTACGTACAGTTAAATCCAACATCCTAAATCAATAACTACAACAATTGCTTAACATTCTATTAAATTCAATGCAGTATGTTAGATGTTCAAAATGTCTTCTGCTTTTCTATTTCAACAAAACGAGTATCTGGCAGCTGAAACTACAGTTGAGACATAGTGGTCTCAAATGAAGAAACAAAAAAGACACGCACAAGCAGACACACACACACCCACACACACTGTGGTTTCCTCTCTGGCAGTTTGCAAAGGACTTCCTGAAGTAGCCAAATGAGGAAGAATGACAGCAGGGCGAAATGTGTCCTTTTGTAATCATAGAAAGAAGAATGTGTTTCCACTGAAGCAGCGCCTCACATTACGATTATAGCTTTGAATACATTTTAACGGGAACACTCCAAATACTGCCCTCATGTCTAAAATATTCTGGAGCTACTTGCAAAGCTTTTGCCATAATTGTAACGCTACATTTCGATTTCAAAAACGTTTTTCTAATTTTTCGTTTTATACCATAGTTCAGATAAAAATGAGACAGCTGCAGTTATAAATAAAGGCACACTGGCCATCTGTTTACCTTCAGTGAGGTGTGTCCGCTCCCGCCGTCCCCCTCGCCTTCCACACCTTAAATCTCCAGCCGCACAAGAACGACAGCTTTGTTTCTCCGACGCGCCCTGAAACAAGCTCCATATCTCACGCGCTTGAGCGCCGCTCAGTATCTCGCCGCTGAGACCGAGCTTTGGCATGTTTGGTAGAGCGCCTTGAGCGCCGTGTACAACCAGTATGGATCAACTGATTAACCAATTGATCCATATATAAGGCGCTCCGGATTATAAGGCGCACAGTCGTTTTTTGAGAAAATTAAAGGCTTTTAAGTGCGCCTTGGAGTGCGGAAAATGCGGTACTATGTGTTCGCAGACGACAACACACAACTATATATATATATATATATATATATGCAGCGCACGTTAAAACATTATTATTGCCTTAACGCAATTATTAATTAACGCAATTGTTAATTAATGCCAACAATTGTTTTCATACTAGCGGTTCTTTCAATGATTGTGCCACAAGCGCCACTCTTGACAAGGCTCCTTAAGATACTTTGCACTCACGGAGATGTCTGTTTAATTCATGGCTGGCTGTTGGGTATTTAAGCACTTTTAGGAGCTGCTCATTTAAATAAAAGATTTTAAAGTAGGCCTATTACTATAGGAAAGTCGTTTTGAAGAAATAAACTAACTCTTCAGGTGTCTGTTTCGTAATGAAAGGCGGTGGGCCCAATGGCGTTGCATGACCGACCCGGAAATTGTAATTCTACCATTTGGCCACGATGTAAAGTTGGCTTCAAAGCTCAGTGCTTTTCCTGGCCACTTGGTATAACTGGACTGGATTACCACCCAGAGTCTTTGTGTACTAATACCACAACGTACTGTGTTATGGGTTATATCATGTAGAGTTTATGAAATGACTTCAAATTGGTTGGTAAATTTACTGGTCAGAAGAAACACAGATCTGTCAAAGTTTGCATTTCTGTGTAGTCATGAACTGGACACAAATGGCACTTTCCGAACCCCACAAAACATCATTCACACTATATAAATGGTACTATATTCACTGAGAAGGAATATCACACCCGCTTGAATTAATTTCCATCTTCTTGTGACTGTAGGATCCGACAGAGAGATGCAAAAGGATCTTTCGCCCTGTGCTTACTCCATGAACGACAAGTCATGCATTATCGCATCGACAGGGACCGGACGGGGAAGCTCTCTATCCCAGATGGCAAGAAATTTGACACCTTGTGGCAGGTAAACAAATGTTTTCTGCTCATTTTCATGTGGATATTTAACTATCACTCTCTAGCAGTGTTGGGCAAGTTACTGAAAATTAGTAATTAGTTACAGTTACTTCTTTTAAAGGTAATCAAATTACTTACCAGTTACTTTATATCAAAAGGAATTAGTTACTATGGAAAGTAACTTTTATGTTACTTTTATTTCTGCTTTTTAAATGTTATGAATAGTACTGAACAGTCAACACAATAAACATATTTATTGTAATAAACAGGGCAGCGGGCCTTCAAATCAATCAGTACAAAAGTCCCTTTTAATACTTACAGTGCATCCGGAAAGTATTCACAGCGCTTCACTTTTTCCACATTTTGTTATGTTACAGCCTTATTCCAAAATGGATTAAATTCCTTATTTTCCATAACGACAAAGTGAAAACTGTCTTTTGCAAATTTTTGCAAATCTGTTAAAAATAAAGAACGGAAATATAACCTGTACATAAGTATTCACAGCCTTTGCTCAATACTTTATTGAGGCAGCTATTTACTAGAGGGCAAATAGAGGGCCTCTATTTGCGTGGAGGGCCCGCAAATAGAGGGCTCTCAAAAAGAGAGTAACAAACTCAATTCAATTTCAGTAATTGTAATTGCGTTACTTGCTCGTTACCGCTAAAAGTAGTGGAATTACAGTAATGCGTTACTCTGTAATGCGTTACTCTCAACACGGCTCTCTGGATTATGTTTAGGGTTTCCCAGCCGTTGTCTGAAGTGTTGCTCCGTGTCCTTTGTGGTTGTTACAGTTATGTTATTCTATCTCCACATTGCCAGGAATATGCACTCTGGAGCAATGCAATGCAATGCAAGTCCGGTCCCCGAACCCAACCAACAAGCTATCAAACAAGCTAACGTCTAGCATCATGTACCGCTGGAAGCAGCAGTCATTCAGACGTAGAGTCTTTAGAAGTTGGTGAAATTCATTGGGTTTTGGTATGTGATTTAATTTAGATCACCAATTTGTCAGGCAGGTCATTCCAAAGCCAAGGGATGCTGGTGACAAAAGCACGGCCACCTTTAGTTTTAAGCCACAACTTTGGAACCGACAGAAGGACCTGAGGCTCTAAGGTTGCGAGCTTGCTTCTTGGGGGTCAATATTTCCTGATAATAATAGCAGCAGTGGATGTCGGGCAGGATCGACAGCAGGAGGCAGGCCTAGGTCCTGGTAGAACCACGATCCATGAAAACCTGAAACATGATCTCAATGTCTCATTCTATTATTATTTTAAAAAAACCTTGCATTGCTAGAAACCATACAGCTTGTCCAGAGCATCAGGGGATGCGTCCTCTGGCACAGGACAGACGTTGTCATGTTTAGTCCACCAACTAAAGTCACTTAGAATAACAACGCAGTCTATGCTGCTCTGCTGGGGTACAGTGATCATTTGTAGTTCTGAAGAATATTTTTTTGCAGGTTTTTTGGTTTTTAATACATCTATTGGGCTTAGTGTCTGATCCATTGAGTGTCTGATACATTCTCTCTCTTTGCCACAGCTGGTGGAACACTACTCGTACAAACCTGATGGTCTGCTGCGAGTGCTAACAGAACCCTGTCCAAGACCCCACGGAGAAACTGGTAAAAAACCTGCTAACACAAATCAAACTTGTCTACATTGAGACAATTGTGCTGCACATATCATATCTGACAACGTAGAATTTAGATAAACAATCCATTTACCCGCTGTGTTCGTAGGGATGCTAGGACGGCAACTCCTCTCACCGGACGCTTCTTCAGTAACTTCTGCCTTTGTAAGTCGTTGGTGTCATTTATATTCTCATGGTTCTGTGTCTACAGTATGTCTAAAAACAGGAGGTTATCCATTCCTCTGTGTTTCTCTCTTCAAAGAACAATCACATAAATACACTAGTGAACACATTATTGGCATTTAAAGTAGCTCTTAACATTTTTATAAACTTTCCACATTAATTATGAATTTTGATTTAAAAATGATTACTCTGTACTATTTCTAAAGTACTGTAATGTTATAGTTCAGCGCTGACCTGGCGACAATGCACTAACACAGATGATTATCAATAACTAAAACATTCAGATGATCGTGTTTTAATTTGGTCTAACGTTAGCAATTGCGGGCTATTGGTATTCAGGCTGCAGTGTAAAACCATCAAAAGCTCAAACTCATGTTTTTGCTTTGAGGGTTCATAACAGAAAAAAAATAAACAAAATTAAAAATATGAAAATAAATATGAAAAATATGAGAATCAATAAGTAGGTGTCAGAATGCCCAGGGGTTCGATTGTAACTACCATTTAGCATTCAGCATCAACTTGTGCATGCCTTGGAAAATTGTCAAAACACTTTCCAAACCTTGACCGACCCTCTGTCATCATGAATGGACACAACTAGAAGGGAAAACGTTTTTGTATTTTTCACAAATATGGATGAAACCACGCTTTACTTTTCATTTTCCCCTCACATGAATACCATCCAGTTAAAGGAAAATGCGAATGTTGTTTACTGTAGGAACAGTTTATCTTTGCTTCGTCTGTAAGATGAGACATAACGTTGACACGTCTGTATTTGGAACTAACCTTTCCCCTGAATCTGTTTCTACTGTAATGATCACATGCATGACCATAACATTACCACGTCACACTCTGATAACCGGTCTTAACCTGATATTTTGGTTTTTAGCAAAATGCGGCAGATGGAATTCTCTCCAAACTCAGAACTGTTCCCATACCTGGCATAAAAAAGGTGCATTAATGCTTCTCATAAAACTATCGGTCCCCTCCACCCGGCCCCACACTCGCCCCTCCCCTCACATCCCAACCCTTTGCTTCAGTGTGGATTGCTACTTGCTAACTAACACATAATGTCTTCCATACGAGGTCATTAACTGCGATTACAATTCTGAACCAAAGTCGGCCCTTTTCTGTTTCCTGATCAATAGCCCCTCCTTCGATATCAGCATGTCAAGACCTAACATGATATGATGGGTCAACCCACCTGTCCTCCTCAAATTCTTTGGACGAAAAGAGACCTTTTGAGAATCCTTTATCCCAATATCTACTGTTCTAAAATCCTGATTTAATGGCTTTGGAATAGCCTTGTAAGCCTCTTATGATCTCTTGGGTCTTGAGATGTGGTATTGAAAGGAGGCGCCTGTGATATGAATGCTCTTTGACACTTTCAACGCTTTGCAGGTCAGGATTTCCAACCTTTTTGAATGTGATTGCTGAATTTGACAAAAGATTCATTTTTTAATATTCTTTCCAACCTAGTCACTAATGCAAGATATTTGTTGGATGTTGACTAATTTTTTAAAGCAGGGGTGTGGGACCAAGTGTATGTTTCAAAGTAAACGGATCATTGACATCAAGCTGTTGTTCTACGGAACATTAGGACATTAAGTTGTTACTTAACTTCCACACCCTTTCTTTGAATGCACTAGAATGCAGATGTTAACCACATAGTTATTCTCTTCCTATTCTAAATCCTTTTGTATGGCCAATCATACAATGTCTCATTCTACACACTCAACACAAAGTATTACAGTGATACGGACTAGTGGTTGAAAGACCATATACTAGATCACATGCTCCCATACAGAAAGAAACCGTTTTTCCACTTTAATCGTAAATGAATGAATTCTGAACTTAACATCAAATTCCAATGTTTCTAAGAATTCCTCCTTTATTGAACATAAAAATTCCGTATCACTATAATAAATGTTCAATATAAAGTGTGGCATCCTGCTTATTTCACTCACTGTAGATCTGTAGATTACATCTCCAGCAGTGCACTGTGTATTTCTATGTTTCATGTGTTTTCCCCATGTGGCTACTCTCAAACATCTTCTTTTCTGATGAATTGAAAACAGAAACGGGGATCTCGACACAACCCCACAGAGCTTCAAAATCCTTATGAACCCAGCGTGCTCAATATTCAAGCAGGCAAAGGTAAGTTAATGAATAAATACAAATATGAATATGAAATATGAATATATGCAAATTACAAATTTGCCTCAGAGGGCTTTACAGTCTGTACACATACAACATCCTCTGTCCCGAAACCCACCATCGGCACAGGAAAAAAAGAAAAAAAATGAAAAAACCCTTCCAAGAGGGAAAAAAGGGAAGAAACCTTAGGGAGAACGTCAGAGGAGGGATCCCACTCCCGGGATGGACAGACTACAATGGATGCCATGTGTACAGAATGAACAATGTATAATACCTATGACAGAAATGATTCAAGTAATTGTGAGTAGTAAGCCAGACGCACAGCAGGACCACTGCAGGGGCAACCACCACCAGATAGAACCACCATCTACCGAAGCCTGTGGGGAGGGAGAGCACAGAGACTTTAGGAGAGGGTAATGTTGGTTTACGAGTACAGTAATATGATTAATATCTAAAATAATAATGATGATGATGATGGCAGCAGCAGCGTCAGCAGGGCCACGGTCGGTGTCAGGACCAGGGTCCAGAAGGAACTACGGATCTACGGAAACCTGCTTGGGGAGAAAGCACAAAAAACCCAAAAAAAACACCAACTTATTTCTGCAGCTATGTCTCAATTCATGGGCTGCATCCTTTTAGGACGCAGCCTTCGCGGTAGACCTGGGCATGGTCCTCCAACAACCACATAGGCTGAAACAACTGGGCTCCGAAAATGGACGATCTGGCTTACGGGGGGGGGGGACTTCCTGCTCAGCTCTTCCTCCTCCACTGCCATTGCTTAGCAACCTGCTGGGCTTGACAATAAAAGCCGCAAAAGAAATTGTGAAATATAGATAGAGAAAGTAATCGTCTTATTATTTAATTTAATTCAGGAATATATGCTTCACTCCCCAGAGCATGATAGATAATTCAGGCTGAATGGGGAGGAGTGTCGGGGACAGCAGGACAGAGTTAATGTTAAATCTAAGAGCAGTTTATTCTCACGTCTTATGGATCTTTAAAAACACAACATCAATTACCAACATCACGTAACTTAAGCAATTTAAAAAATAAATAAATGTGATGTTATATATTATAACATTTCGGTAAGTGAAGTCTATTACTTAAAAGTGAACTCTGCTGCTGGCTGACCTGCCTCCACCCTAAATAAATTGAATCTTTGTCGTCCCGTATTGCATAATGGGATATGCTGGGCCGCATACGATAGATCAGGTGTGTTCTCAAAATCGGCACCTGCGTAGCTCAACCGCGTTCGGAGGAGCCGACGGAATGGGAGAGCCAAGTTGCAGCAGAGTGGCAGCTGAAGTGACGTATGCGGTCAATGAATGCATCCTGAAAAGATACAGGCGGCAAATTGAGACGTACCCTGTGTCTGACACAGGTTGTACCGTAATATATCACCACTATCTTGGTCTGATGGGTGGGCGGTAAAACACATCTTAAAAGAGGATTTGCTTGTAAAAGTGAAAGTTTTGTGCAGACGAGCCGCTGCACTCTGGAAAAGTGGTCCACACAGGCCATTGGAGGATAAGGAGCATCCTGCAACTCCCTTCTGATCTGGTGACTCGCGTAATGTGAAGCCAGATGTTACGTTTGGCATTGTATGCTTGCCATAATCCTAGACATCACTACAATTGATGGAATCTGTGGGGAGATTCAGGACAGCTGTCATAGTCCTCCTACCGAGCCATTCTGACCTGAGCCACCTCACATGGTGGTGACATTGGTAGCCTGTATGAATGCCAGCAGAAGAGTGCAAAAGCTCAGATCATCAGAACTGACTAATTGTCTTGCTGGTTAAGTGACAGAGATCTGACAAGAGCATTTAGCCTCTCTGGCAATCAGTACACGGATACACACAAAATCTGCCTAATTCTCTTTACTTCTACAACTGGAACAAATATTGACTGATATCCATGTCTCAATTTCACATATAAGATTGCAAAGACAAAACAAATGTGTCATCACTATTCCTCTTACGTGAGATGGTTATTTCTCCTTCAGAGGCCATGCCAATGGACACAGATGTATACAACCCATATGCAGACCCTGATGAACTGAGGAGTTCTACAGTGGATCGCAACCAGCTCTTCTTGGAGGATGGAGAACTGGGCTCTGGTAACTTTGGGACAGTCATGAGGGGAATCTACAAAATGAAAAGGTATACTAATTCAAATCAAATCCAATTACATCCATACAAACTATCAAACATTTCCCTTTTAATTGCCCAGTATGTCATGAGACCATGATTATAGATTACCAGACCTATGCAGACTTTTACACCCCAAGATTTTGATTAAGATGCAACAGGCACAACATCCTAAAATAAATTCCACTTCCAGCCACCCAAATACACTTAATGTATCTAAACCTAACTAGAAAATGGATTTCCAGCTGAAAATGCGTTGGAATGCTGAAAATACAGACATGAAGATAGCTGAAATTAGTTTTAGAAATTGCTGAAAACACAAACAACTAAAAAATACACACCCATTATAAAGAAAAGGTCAAATCATTTGTTTATGTCAATGCTACACAGGCTAGTGAAGGCTAACCCCACACAGGCTAGTGAAGGCTAACCCCACACAGGCTAGTGAAGGCTAGCCACAAAGGCTAGCTGGCTAGCTAAACACATTCATTTCAGCTTTCAGCTTGCCTATATTTTGTCATTTCTGTATTGGCTGAACCGAATGGTCTCTGAAATGGGACGGTCTGGCCTATTGTTAGATTTAATTTAGGAATATACGTTTCTCCTCCGGAGCATTCATATTTCAGGCTGAGAGAAGAACATTTTCCAGTTATCTTAAATTTAAATTAAATAAATGTAATATAGTACTTTACTAATTTATAATTACTTTCAGCTAAAAGTAATATTGCAAAGAGGGGATTACAATTGTCAATAAAAACCACAACAGCAAACACATTTATTAACTTGTATGCATTTATTTTTTTGTATTTCTTGCATGCATCGACTGCATGAGAGAGTGTGTGTGAGACAATATATGAGACAATACGAGAGACGGTGTGTGAGACAGTACGTGAGACAGTATGAGAGACCGTGTGAGTCGGTGTGTGAGACAGTATAAGAGTGTGTGTGAGACGGTGTGTGAGACAGTATGAGAGAGTGTGTGAGACGGTGTGTGAAACAGTATGAGAGAGTGTGTGAGACAGTATGAGAGGGTGTGTGAGACGGTATGAGAGACAGTATGAGACAGTATGAGAGACAGTGGATCCTCGGCTGCAGCGTGTGGTTACGTAGCGTTACGGCTCGAGAAAATCTTGTATAAGTGATTCTTGTCTTCAGCGTTGACAACGCTCGTACAGGACGTCATCGTGACAATATGACAGGTCTTAATGATCTCTGAGAAGTCTCTCCCTATAAAACATTAATCTAACTGATATTGCTCCTTCATCAGTGAGGAGGAGAGCCACCCTTTTTAAGGAATGATGAACTAATCCAGCAGCTCAAATGAACCTGCGCCGGAGCAGGTTCAAGTTTTTTGATGTGTTGCTAAGGTCATTTAGCCAAACCTGCTTTGTGGAACCGAAAAGCCGGATCTACGTCATCTCATCCTGAAAATTATCCAGCTGACTCAGTTAACGGGGCCCTGATTTCTCCTCCTGTTCAACATCAAACCTCTCACCAATCACTTCTCACTCTTCAATCCTTCACAATGTAGATGCCGTAAAAAACTCTAAAAAGTAAATCTGTTCAAATCTGGGCCGTAGCTTTCTGATTAATAGCCTCAGTTTGTGTACTTATCTTAGTGTATTCTACACCGCTGCTTTACATGCTGTGTTATAACCTATATTGTTGGTCCATTTTTGTTTGGTATTAGAAATGAGTTCAGATTTCTTATAAGTGATGGGTGTCAATACAAACCAGTAGCGTCATCCTAACACTAAATCTTCCAATGTATTAGGTCGGAGAAGACTGTTGCGGTCAAAATCCTGAAGAATGACGATAACGACCAATCGGTACGTGACGAAATGCTGCGGGAAGCCAATGTCATGCAGCAGCTGGACAATCCTTATATCGTCCGGATGATTGGTATCTGTGAGGCAGAGAACCTCATGCTGGTCATGGAGCTGGCTGAGCTGGGACCACTCCACAAGTTCCTGCAGAAAAACAAGTAAGATCTTCAACTGACATTACTTTACTTCAGAGTGAAGAAGAGCAAGAGAGAGGGTGAAAGGACAGTGGTGGTTGAGTAAGCTAGAAAGTGGATGAAGAGTTCCCCTGTCCCATGTTGAGGTGTCCCTGAGCAAGACACCTCCCTTAACTGCCCGGCCTTCACGGCAGCACACTGCTCCCACTGTGTGGGGTGGGTTACAGTAAATGCAGGGAATAATAATTCCACAGGGATTAATAAAGGATACTTTATTTCTTCTTCTCCTTTCTGATTGCTTTATGTCTTCTAAAGCTCGGAACAACTATTTACTCTTGCAAGTATGCTCAACCTTTTTACATGTGTAGCTGGAGAAGATGTATGATATACTGTGGGGATTCTCTACCCACTACATTTAAAATGTATATTTTCAGTTTTAATGTGACCAACCCAAGATGCAACCCAAAGATCAATAGACTCGACAGTAAACTCACAATCTGATCCAGTAATAATGTGCTTTGCATTTTTTTGCAGCATAGAGCCACTGCTAACAAAACCCCCCCACCCTTGTCGGTCCGTCCGCAACAACTACTTGTAAAAAGAAGTGCATGGAGAGGTTTTATTCTGAGCTGATGTTGTCATCAAACATGAATATGTGGGCAAAATAAATTAATAACATAATGTAGTAGGCATATGCTGTACTGTGTACTCGCAAATAGACCTACTTGTCTAATGTAGCACTGCCACTGGAAGCACAGTGGTTTGGTTGTTCAGCACATTTAGAGCAACAGGTCCATGAAGCTTTACCGTATTTTCCGCACTATAAGGTGGACTTAAAAGCCTAAGCTCAAGCGCGTGAGATATGGAGCTTATTTCAGGGCGCGTCGGAGAAACAAAGCTGTCGTTCTTTCAGAGCATTTAATGAGATTAAAGAGCGAGAGACGGTGCCCTTTTCTTTAGAGTAGCTGAACCATCTTAAAACGGGAAAATAAGTTATTCTAAAAGGGGCCCTTGGCAGGTGGCGTGGCTGGAGAGCAGCCGAAGATTTAAGGCGTGGATGGCGAGTGGGGCGGCGGGAGCGGACGCACCTCGCAGCATCGATCGGCCCCGACGTCAAACGTTTGACTACAGTATCTTATGGGCGTTATAATCCGATGCGCTCGATATATGAGAAATGTTTGAAAATAGGTCATTCATTGAAGGTGCGCCTTATAATCCGGTGCGCCTGATAGTGCGGAAAATACGGTAATTTTAAGATGGCCGGCAAATAAAACTTTACACCATAATTTAAAAGTGCATTTTACAAGCCCATCAAGGGCTGGTGAGTCACGATGTTGACAGAGCTAACAGCTACTAAGGTCGCTGTGAACCAGGGGCAAGCTATAATGCACATGCGTCAACGTCAACAAAGCAATCATTTTGACACAGTTTTTTTGATTGATCATCTACAGACAAACGACAATAAAGAACCTCACAGAGCTGGTCCACCAGGTGTCCATGGGAATGAAGTACCTGGAGGAGCATAACTTTGTGCACAGAGACCTCGCTGCCAGGAACGTGCTGCTGGTCACTCAGCACTACGCCAAGATCAGTGACTTTGGCCTCTCTAAAGCCATCGCTGAAGAGAAGAACTACTACAAGGTAAGTGCCAACAGTGATGGATGCCGCTTTTTTGTTGATCAAAGATGAACTCTCTTTCCATTTAGTGAATTGTTGAGTGGGGAAACTTTTGCTAAAACAATCCCAATAGCCATGGTGAAAAAACAACAACTATTTTTTTATGTAATTCAGATAACACATCAACCTCTTTTGCGTCACGGCCCGGTTTCATGTGGAGTAGTAGTCACTGCACTGTGGCCCTCTGCGCACTGCGACCCGGTAGTTGGGGACTTCTGATTAAATTAACGTGTGCTAAGAGTTTTGCAAGGACTAGAATAAACATTCTTTATTTAACATCATAAAGCTGTTGTCATAATGTTTTTAGAACCTGTAAGACCGCATACTGTTCTTCTCTCAACACTGAAATCCCCAAAGAAAATGGCTGCAAGATAACCAATATAACATTAATTCATAGCCACTGATGTTATGTGTGTGTGTGTGTGTGTGTGTGTGTGTGTGTGCGTCTCCTCCTTCAGGCAAAGGGTCATGGGAAGTGGCCGGTTAAATGGTATGCTCCTGAGTGTATAAACTACTTCAAGTTTTCATCCAAAAGCGATGTGTGGAGCTTTGGGGTGCTCATGTGGGAAGCCTACTCATATGGACAGAAACCATACAAGGTATCTACTCCTCAGCCATTACAATACTTATGCCACACATCAAGTCATTCATGCAATTGCTTATTTCGGGCAGCAGACATTAAACCTGCAAAAGTAGAAGGATTTTTCTTTTTTATTATAGTGATTGTTTTTTTCAAAACCATCACTTGGGACAAAACACTTAAGAAGACAAACTTTTGTCAATTCTTGAGGTAATATAATAAGCAGTATGCTGTTTTTTATCAACTCAGCCATTTTACATCATGCCTTTCAGAGGGAGTCTGGTAATCTGATTATGTTCTCATGTTCTCAGGGATTGAAGGGAAACGATGTCATGCAGATGATTGAAGGTGGAAGACGTATGGATGCCCCAGTGAACTGTCCACCAGAGATGTATGACCTCATGAAAACTTGCTGGACATACAAGTAAGTCGTCACACCAAAATGGCGTTGATCAACAACACACTATTACACCAGATAGGAGTAATGCTTTGATAACTAATTCCTGTTTCATGTGTTACAGAGCGAATGAAAGGCCCGGATTTAAAGTTGTTGAGCCACGGCTACGAGAGTATTATTATGACATTGCATCGTAATTCTTCTCATGGGTGTTAGGGGGTAATGCATAACAATGTGCAGAAGGACTGCCTTTATTCATGCTTGAATGAACGAAGCCACGTGCACAGATAGACCCCTAATGGTGCTCAAGCACCTGCCCCTTTGCCCTGGATGAGAAAAGTGCCCCTTGGGCTGCTGGAGCCCAATCTCTTCTTCATTGATCAATATGTAAGAAATTACTCTCTCTGTCATCAATTCCCCCAAATATGTTTTGATATCTGGCGGGGCATTTATTTGAGTTCTTGTGAGAATTTTGCGCCAACATGCTCCGCGGCGCTCACAAGCCACCACCGCGCCCCTTCTTCCTCCTCCTCCTCCGCTTAGTGCTTGTGCAGTGCTGAGCGCCAAACGGGTGCAGCATCAGACAGGTAATGAGGGTGTTTGTGCAATCCCCCCAACGTTGTTTGGTGATAAATTAACCATAACATTACGCCGCTGAGAACATTACGTTGCAACTTGTCCGACGTTTTCTGAAAAATAAACAAACAAAAAACTCACGTGATTTCAAATCCTTGTCCAGCTGTTTACTGACGTTTGTCTTGTTTAGTGAAGAGAGAGAGGGCGAGAGATGCAGGCAGACAGGCAGAGAATTTAAAGGCAGTTTTACTGTTCTACATATTGAACAAGTTTGCTAGTTTTGTTTAATTTGATTCAATTATTAAAAAGAAAGGTAGGTCTTAAGTTGAGCTACATGACGGTCTGGTGAGGTGTATTGTGGTATATTATGCTTTGGTATATTATATATAATGCTGCTTATGCAGATGTCAGAAAACAGTAAAAAAATGTATGTGTGTTTTCATCGTTATAGAGCTTATGTAAGTCCCTTTTGATCATTATGCACAACATTGGTTTATCTTATGCCACATAACTTGTGGCATAATGCCAAGAAAAGAGAGACTCCAAAAGCAGAATGACAGGGAAAATATCCTACTGTGTTTTTATTTATTTATTTTATTATTAGTATTTTTCCTTTTATGAATAATTTTGGTGATGGGTGCGCTTTTTTGGTTTTGGTTTGAGCACCTGCCCCCCAAAATGTCTGTGCACGTGCCTGCCAGAGATGTAATGAATTATGAATGCTGTTGTAAAATATTGAAGGACTACTTTCACAACTTGTAAACAATTAACCGTATTAATGCAAATTACATTTATTTTATTACTTTTTACTTTTTTTGTTCTTTACTGAATGTAAACAATATAGAAGTTATAATAAACATACAAGTCTTGCTTAATGTATGAACAAACATTGATGTTATAGGTAACACACTCCATGCCTTATTCATTCACTAGATGTGTTTCCTGCCGTCAGTGCAAACTTGCCTTTCACCGTTTTGAGATCAAAATTGCTCATCGGGTGGGGGGGGGGTAGCTGGCTGGCCAGCGTTTCTTAGATTGAAGTGAGACTAGGAGGAAAGGTGATGTTGTGATCTTGATAATAAAACATATTTGATGTGGCATGACGAGCCTTGGCCAATTGGCGTTGAGAGAGCATCTTCATTTTCTCCAACTTTTCCTTTCACTCGAAATCAGTGTTGCCACTTTCTCGCTACATCTGATTTTCCAAACCGTGGTAACTTTTTTTTTTGTCAAAAGTGTAGCGATTTTCCCTGGCGTTATTGGAGACTTTTCTGCAGTTACTGGCCTCAACGAGTCTCACAGGAGGAGGAGACCCACACCTCTCCGCGCCCAGACTAAAAAAAGTATTGCAGAGCCGCTGCTGATCGTACAGCATCCATTACAATTATCAAACTAGTCAACAATGTCATTTAACGACGAGCACACCCCCTCCTGTTGTCACCTTTTCACTTTTCAGCGTTCTACTTCTTATGCTTTAATTAACATGAATCAATCAACTTTTTTTAACATGTTTTTTTTTTCAATTTTCTTTCTCAGCCTTTCAGCTACAGCCACCATTTAAACTTTGAAATGTTGACAAAAGCCTCAACTAAAAATAAAAAAATCTGCTTTTTGATAGGTTTTCAACTTTTTTCAATATCACTGATTAGGTTTCATGGGTTTCTCAGACCATTTGCTAAATTGGTGGGTATGTGGCAGGATAAAGTGGTGCCTGAAATTGTGTTGTAGTACTCAAGATCGGTCTTGGTCTCGAGACCACTTTTTCAAGGTCTCGGTCAGAACTGTGGGGATATCAATAAATTGCCTGTGCATTTTTTGGATTTACTTGTTAATATCATTACTGTGATTTTGCGTAAAACTTAATGCTTCGAGTACAACCAATAACTTGACTCATTTATCATTTTAAATGATTGTCACTGTTAATGACAGGAGATCAAGGGGCCGTGCAAAGATGCAAGCCTCTGTCGTGAAATTTGGTTACCTGAACCACAGAGTTCTTGTGCACAAATAAAATAAAAAAACACAGTGCAACTTGTGAATTTAGCAGTCCAACTTACCGGTGTTCTGGTCGATTTTTGCTGCTTTGTTGAATCTCTAGAAGAATAATTTCTGAGGAACAGATACCAGAGTTGGTAAGGAAGGTCATGGAAACTATTTTTAAGAAGCTGGAGACCCAGTCGTCCGTGTCATTAACAACAGATCTCTGGTCAGATTGCAGGCTTCGCTCTTTTCTTGGAGTGACTGCCCATGTGTGTTCTGAATCAAAGGATTTCTATGCAATTGAATCTTACCTGCTGAACTGTAGGCGTTTTACCGGTAGACATGGAATTCAGTAGAACGAATTGCTTCTGCCTTTGAGGAAATAACAGAGGAATATGCTCGCCGCCAGAAGATAAGCTATATCATCACAGACAATGCTGCCAATATGAAATGCGCTTTCAAAGTTCACATGCCACAACACCAGTCTGATGAGTGTGAGAGTGAGGACGATAATCTAGATGATGAGCACTTGTGGGAGGACATGGATTCAGTGGAAGACACAGAATTACCCTGGTCATCAGGTGAACGGCTTTCCTGTTTTGCCCACTCTGACGGCTTGAAGGAGGTGAGGTCAAGCTCCCGTCCATCTATCCATCCATCCATTGTCAAACCGCTTATCCTGCACACAGGGTCGTGGGGGGGCTGGAGTCCATCCCAGCCAACTTCGGGCGATAGACAGGGTACATCGTGGATTGGTCGCCAGCCAATCGCAGGGCCACACAGAGACATACAACCGTTCACACTCACATTCACACATCTACGGGCAATTTAAAGTCCCCAATTAACCTGATCCCCAGAGCATGTCTTTGGACTGTGGGAGGAAGCCGGAGTACCCGGAGAGAACCCACGTGTCAGAGTTCCCCCCTATGGACCTGGGTAAATGCTGGGTTAGGTCTCCCTCTGGTGGATCCGGGAGAGGTTGGCATTTGCACGCACCTGTCACCGTTCTCGTAATCACACACCTGCACCGGATCTACAATCACCTGAGTATAAGCCTGACAACCAGTCGGCGTCGGATCGTTGCCTATGTCACGTATGTCGACCTCGGTGTTTGTTGAGTCTCAGTTGAGAGAGTTATCGAGTCAAGCCGAGAGTTGTTTGTTGTTTTTGTTTCATGTCAGTCAGTGTCCAGTGACTTACCTCATCGTTTCACCTCCTCTGTTCCAGTTGTACCTGTCGTTTCCTGCATGTTGGATTATCACTGGATATTGTACACCGTCTGGGAAATCGTCATCTGGGATTTACCTTCATCACCCGGAACCCTCACGCCCGTTCCTGCCGCTCATCTACCATCGTGTCATTCAATAAAACAGAGGTTGTTCACTCGCTATCTGACTGCCGTGTCGTTTCGTTCTGCGTTTGGGTTCAGCCTCACTACAACCCTGACACCACGCAGACACGGGGAGAACATGAAGACGCCACCCCTGCTCCCTCGCGAAACGTGAACTTCCTCGCTCGCGAGGTTAGTCTCTGCTCACGCTCGAAGGTGTTTTCTACGGGCTTGCTGCATTCACACAACTATAGAAGCCCATTTCCGCATTAAAGAAAGGGGATGGAAAGTCGAAATTATGAGATAAAACGTTGTCAAAAAACAAACGCCCCCCTTTGGTAATCGTAGTGGACCGTAAATGACAACCACCTACAAAACTAAGTATTGAGCAAAGGCTGTGAATACTTATGTACATGTTATGTTTTCATTCTTTATTTTTAACAGATTTGAAAAAAATTGCAAAAAACAGTTTTCACTTTGTCATTATTATGGGTTGTTGTGTGTAGAATGTTGAGGAAAATAATGAATTTAATCCATTTTGAAATAAGGCTGTAATATAACAAAATGTGGACAAAGTGAAGCGCTGTGAATACTTTCCAGATGCACTGGATATTGCGGCTGTGTCACACTAAATGTTACGGAAAAAGGAGGCTTACTGAGGCTTACTTACTTGAGAATCATTCAAATACTGTTGGTAAAACCCAGCCATCCCAAGGAACAATCTTATCTTTGATGGAGAGGGTCTTCTCATCCATCAAATCCTTCTCACACAATGGCCTTCACCTTCTCTGGGTCTGTGGAGATGCCATCCTTTCCCACAATGTGCCCCAGGAACATCACAAACGGCCTCATGAAGTACCACTTCTTTGGGTCTAGCTTCAGGTTATGCGCTTTTAGCTTCTCTGACACCATTTCCAGTCTCTGCAAAGCGAACTGTTCATCAAGAGCAAAGACAAGGATGTCATCCAGATAGCACAAGAAGTTTTGATCACCAAAGATGGCCATGATCGCCTCATGAGCGTGACAGGACGTTTGCACAGTCCCTGCGGAAGATTGGTCTTTTCCAGTATGGTCCGCTCACCATCTGAAAATCAACCTCGACAAGACTTCTCCTTCCGGAAATAGGTTCTCGTACCCAGGACCTGACTGTTAACTTTGGCAACTCCAGGTCAACGCTGACTTTGACTGCTAGGAACCTCGGTTTGACACTTAACAGCCAACTCTCCCTGACTCCCAACATTACAGCGACGATACGATCCTGTAGATACACCCTCTACAACATCAGGAGAACACATCCCCTTCTCTCTCAGAAGGCAGCACAGGTACTGATTCAGGCTCTTGTCATATACCACCTTGACTGTTGTAACTCTCCTGGCAGGTCTCCCTGCTACCGCAGCTTGACTGGTCTTTAACCTTCCTATATTCTCCCACACTACTCCACTCCAGTGGCTGCCCGCATCTAGTTCAAAACTTTGTTCTCGTACGTACTGTACTGTGAATGGATTGGGTACAGTCTACATCCAGGACATGGTCAAACCCTACATCCCAACCTCTCCCTCCCCACAGGCTTCTGTGGATGGTGGTTCTATCTGATGGTGGTTGCCCCTGCAGTGGTCCTGCTGTGCGCCTGGCTTACTACTCACAATTACTTGAATCATTTCTGTGATAGGAATTGCATGTATTATACATTGTTCATTCTGTACACATGGCATCCATTGTAGTCTGTCCATCCCGGGAGTGGGATCCCTCCTCTGACATTCTCCCTAAGGTTTCTTCCCTTTTTTCCCTCTTGTAAGGGTTTTTTCATTTTTTGGGGAGTTTTTCCTGTGCCAATGGTGGGTTTCGGGGCAGAGGATTTTGTATGTGTACAGACTGTAAAGCCCTCTGAGGCAAATTTGTAATTTGCGATAATGGGCTATACAAAATAAAATGAATTGAATTGAACCTGCACACTCAGCTCTGCATCTGTCAAACTGCTTGTTCCTCCCTCACTGAGAGCAAAACACTCAACAAGATCACTGTCCTGGCTCTGAAAATGGTGGAATGAGCTCTCCAATGACCCCAGGGCCGCTGAGTCTTTTTATCTTCCGCCGCAAACTATAGACACACCTCTTAACTATCCCTTGACTTAAAAACAAAAAAAACTCAGCACTTAAATTGCACTTAATAGCTCTTGAAATTGCACTTTCGTGTTTCTTCTTCTGAGTTTGTATCCTTATCATTGAAATGCACTTATTATAACTCGCTTTGGATAAAAGTGTCAGCTAAATGACATGTAATGTAATGCAATTCACCAATCAAGTTCCAGCTTGATATTCTCCAGCTCTCCACTCATTCTTTGCCAGATCGTCAGTTCACAACTGATGCTACGACTAAAAACAGTCAGGAATTGTTGCCACCTTGTAATGTCTTTTGTCTGCCTCAGCCTCAGGTTCTCTGCCCCTTCTGGATTCCCCGCAACCTGCATTGTGGAATCAGCCTGTCGACCATTCCTCCAGCCTGCTCACCACACCTGCTCACATTCCTGCCCCTGGTTCTTTATAATAAAGACTGTTGAACCAGTTCTGCTCTTGGGTCCGGCACCACAACCAATATGACACTCTGTTTTAGCCGGACCATTTGTAGATGTTGTCACAACGGGGTGGAGTTGGTTAGGGGATTACTTCCACATTCAATTGCATTTTGTATGAGTTTGCTATAATAACAGGAGCAACATGCAACTAAAACAATGTGGAAGCACCCTTGGCTAATTAAAAAACTAAGATGCTTCTTCAGGTTGGAGGTGGAATATTTGGA